CTGAAGAAGCTCACAGAACATTTCTCAAACTGGGCCGGCGGGCCTCTTTCTGATGAGAAAACCCATTTGACTGTTGTGTAGACGTTTTGCAACAGAAGACTTTTACCACAACAGCACAGCGTGCACAGATAAAGCTTTTAGCTAAAGTATTGTGGAACTATAACAATGCATTTGAGTCTGGTCTCTTGAAACTAAGCACAACGGACCCATTCTGAGCTCACGCACAATGAACGACTCTGTGCTGACCTCAAGTTTCCTTAACTTTCAGTTTATGGGACTGAGGCTGCGCTGTAACGTAAGAGCGTTCCTATTTCTGAGAGGGTGTTCTCTTGTTTTTATTAACAAGAAACCTAAGCTGCAAATGCCTCTGGTGGACACTCAGTTCTGCCAGCTGACTTGATTCCTGTGCATGAATAGAAGTGGGGCAACATTTGTTTACTGAATCACTAACCACACAAATTTTAGAATTTGTGTCAATTTTCTGTGGAAAAATACTGAATATGTTTTTTTTTTCTTCTTAAGTTTCTTGCCTTTTTTTACGTCACCTCTTTTTCCCCTCCTGGAGGGTCGAGGTTGCGTCTCGAGGAAACGTTTCAAAATAAAACGTCAATCACACAAATGCCCCCCCCCCCCCCCCAGCACTTAATCTGAAACAGAAATTAGTTTACACAGTTAAAATTAATAACAGGCGACCTTTATGGATAGAATTTCTAATTCGATTTGAAGAGGCAAAAAAAAAATCTACAGCGAAACTCCAAATTTGAACAAATGAAAGAAGAAAAAAAAAAGTTTATCTTGAGAAACATTTTAGTTCAATAGTGAAAAGATCCTTTTTTTAAAAAAAAAACTGATCCATTTATCTAAAGGAGAATCATGTTTATGCTTTAACGACTTTGAACAGATTCACGCTTTTATCACTTCCTAACTAATTTACTGTAATTTTCTGTATGTTGGTGTCAGGCCGGCCTCTCTCGACTTCAGAACGCTGCAGCTCGTCTTTTAACACGAACCCCAAAACTCACTTTCTATTATTGGTTCCCTGTTCCTTTTAGAATTGACTTTAATGCTTTATCGATGCCACACAAGGCCCTGAATGGACAGTTGTAGACCTGTTGGACCTCCTTTTGGTCACCCCGAGGTCCAGGCTGGTCCACAGAGGTGATTCAGTCGTAGCTCCTAAACCTTCATATCACACAGGCTTCAACTCTTTAACACATTCATACTCACTGCTTTAAATACAGCATGAAAACTGACGTATTGTGTTATTGACGTTTTTTAGGTGAGGCTGTGCCACACTGGCCACACCTTCCAAAACAGTAACAAGTTGCTTCAAGAGGTGAAAAAAGATGAACCACAAGCTCTGGTGAAACACATTCCACAGTAATGACCTCAGAGTTCTTGTAAACCTTATAGCATCATTACGTTTTCACACAGCCAATATTCAAATAATGCGACCTGAGCGAGTGTAAAATTAGCTTTTGATTAGCTTTAATTAAGACAGCATTTCTTAAGAGATCCAACTTGAGTTATCTGTTTTTTTACTTTCATTTTGCTCCGTTTTCTCATATAATTATTTGTCAGACTTGGTGGCGTCAGACTGGAACTAGACGAGAGAAGTCTCACCTCTGTTTTACTGCCCAAACTGAAAGCTGATAAGTGGTTTAATAACCACTTATGTAATGAGATAGGGGTGGTGCCCCATGGTCCTTGTGGCCCTATCTTTTGTTTTCCTCGTGCTCCAGTATTCTTTTCTTTGTAAGCTCTGCTGCCACGTTGACCTGTTATTTTGTTATTTAAAATAAATACGTTTTTATATTATTTCTGAGCTCCTCCATGGTTGTCTGCAATTGGCTCCAATCCACCACTCTTGGTGATAATGTGCAAGCTAGACACCAATTAGGAGTGCACGAAATCCACAAACCAAACACCCATTGCAATGCATTATGGTCTATAGATCAAAGTAGTGTGCAGCTTCCACACACTACTCTTCCGGTTTCTAGGGCACTACAGTAGTCCCTCGTTACTTTGTGTTTCAACTTGTGCAGACTCGCTCTTTCGCGGTCTTTCAACGTAAGATGTACACGGCACACGATTGTCCACTTTAATATTACTCACGTGATTGGGACAGTATGGGATATAAAGTTAACCAAAAAAACAACAACTTTGGACAGGTGTTGCCATTTTTGTAGTCTTCTTTCCATAACACTATACTTTAACTTATGTCAAAAGAACTACAATACCCAGAAGCCAACAGTGCTTCCAGACGCTGCTTTCTGCTGAAATGGAGGGAAAGTTTTGCAACGCAAATCTACGCTTTCTATGAAGCTCACAGAACTGGCAGGAAAGTCACAAATAATCCTGAAGCTTCCTGAAGCTCAATTATCCACGCACACATCAACCTGGACGGGGTGGTGGGCTTTGTCGCTGCAGGGTAGATCTGCAGAACCGGAACTGAGCTGCTGGTCTGCAGAGCTGGTGGGTAAAATTCTGCAGTACTCTACAGTAGGGCTTGAATTGACTAGACATCTAGTCGATTCTAGGACATCTCTCGAGTTTTTCATTTTCACGTTGACTAGTTGCAGTCACCGCCCGCCCCGCTGTTTAGAGCTGTCATTTCTAACCGCAGACCGACCCAAAATTCGGGCCTGGCCGAGCCAAAATAATGTGCTGGATGGGTGGGCCGGGTCGGGTTCTTGAGTGGGTCAGCGGATGCGCCGGCTTATGATCCAATTTGGATCACCACCAGCTGCTTGCGGCCATTTGACCGCACGCTGACCATCTGGTTAAAAAAGGTACAAAAAAGTCCAGATGGATCACTGCCAGCATCCCACCTGCGGCTTAACTGGACCCAGCCGCTACGCCAGCGGACGCGTGCGACCTACGACCGTTAATAACGATAATAACTATATATTATAATAATGTGGATTCCACCACCGCCTGTGGTGGATTTTTAAAAATGTATATATTTTTTTATTTAATCAGTGGTGGAGTAAATAAAAAACTAACAGCAGGACACCACCGCCCACCCCGTTGTTTTTAGTTTTGTTTTTTACGTGCCGCACGCTTCTTTCACTTTTGCAGCTTAATAATAGCTTTGGTTTTCTTGTGACTTAATTGCAGTATGATAAATGGTAGAAGCATAAATATACACTCCCTATTTTAAATAATAAATGACTTTCTTTTTAAATATGACATAGCATCTTGAGTTCTTTTTAAATATGACATAGCATCTTGAGTTCCTATGATGTCACAGCGACTAGTCGATGGCGACTGTTATCATGTTGAAGTAGACTTTAAAAAATATGTAGTCGTCCAACGCCTACTGTACAGTACATATATATACAGTATGTTGGTAAACTGTCTAGGTTTGAGTTTAGAACATTGCAAGAGTATTGGAAGAGTTTATAAAGCTTTAAAATATATATATAAATACAAAAATAAATATAGCGTTCCTACTTTGCGAATTTTCACCTATTGTGGTGGTGTCTGGAACGTAACCCCCGCTATAATTGAGGGACTATAGTGGATGGAAAAAGTACAACTCCAAAATGTCTGACTATAAGACAAATGAATGGCCATTTTGAGCCTATTCCTCCAAGCTAAAGTTGTTCAAAGCCCTATCTGCAGCAGGTAAGATATTAATTGTTTATAGTCTGGGCAGTTCATTTTGAAATAGACAAAAAGCCGTTTTTGTGCAACATCTGCATCTGGTGGACAAACTGTGCTCCCACCCCCACCCAAAACATAAAAATAATTAAAAAGAGGACATTTTCCAAAACCAGCACGCGAGGATTTAGTGAAATCTCGGTGTATTACACGAACCTGTCACCTGCCTTCTCTGTAAACGCCACGCGGTCATGTGGCTTTGCGGCTTTTCTCGAGTTCTCCAAAGAGGAGCGAGTTCAAACGAATTGAAACAGACTCCCGAAGCAAAGTTTCACTTTCGATTCTGTTTCAGAGAAACTGCCTGGCTGCCGCTAAGAGAGGGGCGGGGCCTGCGCGGGGAGCACGAGCTGAATATAAAGACAGCCGTTTCCATCCTGAGTCAGTGTGGACGGACAGGAGGCTCGGTCTGCAGGCGGACAGAGGCTGCTGTTTTCATTTAAAGACACTCCGTCCAGCTGTGTCACCATCTCCTCCACAGCAGAAACCTGCATTTGGGATTTATTTTTATTTACACACCCGGGAACAGCCGCTGTGTTAGAACCAAACGGTGAGACTTGTTTATTTTGAATGGGGTTTTTTTTGTGTGTGGTTTGCAGCAATCATGGCTGTTGCTTTGGACTCTTTGAAGTTTAAAACAAAATTAAATTTTGTTGAATTAAGCTGTGCTCTGACACCTTACTGGCTGTAAACAATGTGTTTAACTAAAAAAAAAAACATCTAGATGTCCTAACATCATGTCTTTTGAAACACCATCTGTTAATCATTAAATTTTCTTGGAAGTTTTTTTGAACTTGTAAACACAAGTCTTTGATAATCCTCAGCAATCACATTACATAAATATGTAAACTTTTTTTTTAAAGCTCATATTGTCTCAGCTTAACCATTAAAATATTGGTGTTAAATCTGTATCTCAAACTTTTATTCGTTAACCCTTCAATGGGGTTTCATTTCAGTTTGTAACGTTCATAACATTTTGTGGCCAGATAGTTGTTTTATCAAAGATTTTAGTTTGATATAAGTGAATGAAATATGTAGAGCAAGAAAAAAGACTGTCTGCTTGTACGAGTGTGGCTAGAGCCAGCGTACAGTAAATTGGATGTGGGTTTATCAGCCAAACCACAAATTTCAGTCATGTATAGAACAGTTCTGCTCTGTGGAAATGACATTTCTTGTCCCGGTGTCTAACTCCAACACTGATAAATGAGCACTCTTTGTAGCTTCACGCTCTGTTTTTAAATATGTCACGAGGACTAACGCCTGTTTTCTTCTTTCTTGCAGGATGTCAGTGCGGTGGGTAGAGATGGGAGAGGGCTTGGGCCTCTCTCCGCTGTAGGATGGTAGCCAACAGCACAGTGGAAGGTCATGACAAGATCCCCTTGTCAAGCTCCTCCTCGCCACCGTCTTCTTTGACTTTGCCGTCACCGACTCGAACTCAGTCCGAGCAGCCTTTGCGTCAGTCCAGCCCAAACCTGAGATCTGCCTGCTCTGTGTATTTGACTCACTTCCCAACTTTCACCTCCAAGGAGGACTGCGACATCATCACAGAGACAGCCTCCAAGCTCGAGCGCAGCGGCTTCTACTGGGGGCCTCTGGGAGTGGAGGACGCCCACCGCATGCTGAAGGACGCCCCGCTGGGCAGCTTCCTCATTCGAGATAGCCGACAGAAAGACGTCTTCTTCACGCTGTCCTACCACGCCAAAAGTGGACCGGTCAGCGTGCGCATCGACTACAAGCAGCAAAGGTTCTCGCTGGCGGGCAACGAGCGTTCCTTCCAGACACTCTTTGCCCTCTTGGAGCATTACATCAATTCGCCGAAGAGGAGCCTGCGAGTCCCGTATAGGAAATGGGAGCCCTCGCTGCAGGAGCTGTGCAGGAGGCACATCATGGAGCAGTGCAGCGAAAAGAGCAAGATCTCAGAGCTGCCAGTCACACATGTGGTTCAGGATTTCCTGTTGGAGTTCCCTTACAAACTGTGAGCAGCCTGCCACACACAGTTCTGGTACTTTTATTTTTGACTTCAAGGTGGCAGTTTTTACCAAGTCACAGGACACCAGAGGGGCTAATGATGCCTGCCCATCATGGACTGGAAGTAGAGCCTGCGTCACCATGGTTACAGATAAAAGGAGCTAAGCGTTTTCTGCTGAAGAGCTCTGAAATCAGTCCAAAGAGTCGTTCGAATCAGGCAGCTTCCAAGAGGACAATGTTTTTCTTTAACATTTCAACATCTACTACCTCTAGAAACTCTACTTCGAGTTGCACATGGACAGGACATCCTCTGGTATTAGGACAGTACACAAAGTTGAAAAACGCTGCATGGAAAGGAAACTGCACATACAATGGAGCGATTACAGAGATCGGACTGGGAAGTGTACAATCTGTTGCTCAGAAATGTTGTGGAAGGACGTTAAAGGAACAGACTGATGAGCGTTTACAGTCTTGGTGGCGGGTACGATTGAAACGAGTCGGGGCACCAGGAAAATTCACTTTTGTAGCAGATTTAAATACTCTAATGTGGAATGTTTACATCCCCTCTGAATGTTTGTCCAAACTGAAGGCTCAAACCCCACTCCTGTTGAAATCTGTGCAGACTTCCAAAACCAGGAAATGTCCAATGGTCCTCATCAGAATATTCACTTGTACTGTACCGAATATGCAAAGATGTCTCACCACTTATTTAAAATGTCTATACCAAGCAGACTAAATTTATTTCTGAAATATTTTATATATTTTTTTACTTTTGATATTTTAAATAAAGATGTATTTAAATTAACTTTTGTGCTATCATTTCTCCTGTGTGTCTTATGGTGGGAGTTTTGCTGGGGTCTAGTGAGGAGGAGGGACGAACACCTTTTGATATCTTTGTTGAGGCTGTTTCACAGAAAGCAAGACAGACAGGAAGTGTGGAAGGTAGTGTACAGTATGAACGCCATGAGTCATCTCTGTAGGGCAAAGTGACAGGTGGGTGGGGTTACTTTGGTAGTAAATGAAGCGTTGGGCGTATATAAACACACTTACCAGAAGTAGGGGGAGGTGACGCATAATGAAGTGTACAAGAGTGTGTAGCACTTTCAGTCTCCTGTGGACAAAGATTATTAGAATTTCTTCAACAGGAAGTGGGAAATTTGGGGTTTATTGGTTAAATAGACACAGACTGAGGTTACTTTATTTGAGAACTTGAACAATAAATAGATTCTCCAGTCTCCATTTAGTCAAGCCAAGAATGTGCTCTGAAGCCAGTCTGTAAACGTGAGGCGACACGTGAAGAGATCATTCAAAAGGAGGACGGCTTCAAATCTCCAATCGCTCAGCGGTCACTCCTTTCATTCAGCCATTCATAGGGTTGTGTTTTGTTTAGAATCACCTCGGAGCAGATCCCAGCTGAAAGATCTCCTGAAACGTCTTTCATTGAAAATGAATTTACCAACCAGTTATTTGGCCTTGCACCGTTTGCTCGTCAGTCCAGTCAAAATTAAGCCTTTACCTCCAAACTGAGGTCCTTCACACAAACACTTAAGTAGTAATGGCATATATTTTGAACAGAGCCCCACATCACCAGATTATTATTATTATTATTTTTTTTTTCATTTACCCTTTATTTATCCAGGTAGTCTCATTGAGCCACGAGAACTCATTTTCAAGAGAGACCTGTTTAGGGAGCAGATGGGGGGTTAAGGGCCTTGCTCATGGGCCCAGAGTGGGGCGAATGAGGATGGGGCAAGTGTGGGTGCTTCATATACCCCACCCACAATTTTGATGTCATCGGGGCCGGGGCGTGAACCGGCGATCTTCGGATCACAGGCCCACCTCTCTAACCTCTGCGCCACCACTCACCACTACCCGTATCCTCAATTATACCCATCACTTTCGTTTGTCTTACACTCTAGATTTTGTATGGCTAAAAAGAGCTGCTGGTAAGTGTATTAGGTCTGTTACTGAGCATGTCTGATAGGTCAAACTATTTCTGTATGTCTTAATTTAGTGTAACTGTCACATTTATGCAAGCTTTGACTTTAAATGTGTCTTTTTAAAGCAGTGACACTTGTGAGGATGTGTGACTTTGTCACCTCGTCTGACGTCAACGTCCTTTCTTATCTGAAGCTGGGACCTTGCATAGCAACTTGTCCGTCACTCATCACCTAACCAGACCGCCAACACGAAAAACCAAATTTTACCATAAGGCTTCATGACCTTAAGGGGATTTCTACAGACTCTCTTAATATTGCCAAACACACACAGGTGAGTCATACTGAACATTGTACTCACATTTTATTTCAAGTAAAGTCTGACTAGCTAGAAGATATTTTATCATTCTATGGAATAAACTCACCTGGAATGTCTGGAATGGCATGACTCACAATTCAGTGACTAATGTTCAAAGACCAACACCGTGAGTTGACACAATTGACACCTTTTGTGTTTAGAGAAAGAAAATATCAATGAAAATAAAAGGTATTTAGGTGTGAGTTCATGTAGGTCTGGCAGTGAGTGAATCATTCATTCAGTCGTATCGTTTTCTCTCAGCTCGTCAGTTTTAAGGACATTCCCGACTATTTTGAGAAGTGAAAAGTGAAGTGAGGTGTCGTGACGGTGTTGCTTATCAGCTGGTTTCTGTGGAATACTTCCCTTGGAGTTTTCTGTTCTTTAACGCGACTACACAGAAACCAATTCTGTTGTGAGAGGAAATATTGAGCTACCCTTTATTTCACAGAAGATGAGCAAGTTTATGAACGTAGACATTTGTTTAAAAGGGAACGGAGCTTAAGGGTATTATGCTGTTTGTATACGCCATGTATCCCTTCCTCATGTTTTTGGTTATTGAGAAATATTGGAGAAAACATTCCTTAGTCATCTACTTCCCTTGTTTTCTTCAATTCTTGTTAGTGCAGTATCTCAGAATTCACAGCATGATTATTGTAGATTTACAGGAAACATTAGCCATTTAGGATAAGAGGAGTGAGGTTTCACAATGACTATAGCCAAATGTGGGGTGAGCTCTGCATCAGTGAAATCAGAAAAGAAAAAGTAACAGAACATGTCAAATGGTTTTATCTATTTCAGTAAAGGCTACACAGTTTCTCCATTTCTTTTCCTCAACTTGCAACAGTGATTCAGAGGGGAAAAAAAACCGTTTTTCCATAAAGCATCATCTGAGCTTGTTTTTAGCTGCTATGGTATAAAATTAATTTAGACCTTCACCATAAATTGGTCACAAATTGCTCTGTTTACAATACTTTATGTCTGGGAAACAGTTTTAACTTTAACAGTCTAGGTATGGTTTCATGCCAAGAAAGAGAACCACAAATGCCATCTTTGCTTTTGAGGATGCTGATGGAGATGTACAGAGAGAGTCAGAAAAACTTTTTGTGGATTTAGAAAAAGCATATGACAGGGTGCCGAGGGAGGAGGTGTGGTGTTGCATGAGGGAATTTGGAGTGGCAGAGAAGTATGTTAGACTGGTACAGGACAAGGGCGTCAGAAGCATCCGTAATGTGGGGGGACACAATGATGTGTGTAGGGGTGTGTATGTGCGCATGAACGTTTTTGGAATGTGGGGGGACTTGTCCCCTTCACATATAATGGTTACGACGCTTATGGTACAGGACATGTATGAGGACAGCAGGACAGTGGTGAGATGTGCTGCAGGAGTGAGAGATAGCTTCAAGGTGGAGGTTGGAATGCATCAAGGATCGGCTCTGAGCCCCTTCTTGCTTCCTCTGGTGATGGACCGACTAACAGATGAGGTCAGGCAGGAATCCCTGTAGTCTATGATGTTTGAAGATGACATTGTGATCTGTGGTGAGAACAGGAAACAGGTGGAAGAGAACTTGGGAGAAGTGGAGGTATGCACTTGAAAGAAGAGGAATGAAAGTCAGCCATAGTGTGTGAATGAGAGGGAGGCTGGTAGAACAGTGAGGCTACAAGGGGCAGAGGTCACAAAGGTGCAGGACTTCAAGTACCGGTACTTAAGAGGTCGACTTTCCACGAAAATAGGGACTGTGGTAAAGAGATGAAGAAGAGAGTCCGGGCAGGATAGAGTAGATGGAGAAAAGTTTCAGGGGTGATTTGTGATGAAAGGGTGTCAGCAAAGGTCAAAGGAAAAGTTTACAAGACAGTGGTGAGACCAGCTATGTTGTATGGAGACAGAGACATGGACAAAAAGACAGGAGAAAATGGTAAAAGTACTGTACTTATATAGCATCTTTCTATCTTATCAAGATACTCAAAGCACTTTACACTACAATCTGTGCCCTCATTTACCAATTCATACAGAACTCTACTAGATCTATACAAAGATTAATCAGTACTCTTTAGATCACATTCATACACCAATGGGACAGACACCCATTGGAGGCAATGATGGGTTCAGTGTCTTGCCCAGGGACACTTCAACAGGTGACTGCTGGTGTAATCCAACTCCCAACTCTCCCTTTAGAGGACGACTGCTCTAACCACTCAGCCACAGCTACCCCCACTGAAAATAACAAAGTGGCAGAAATGAAGAGTGGATAAGATTGGGAACGAGATCATCAGAGGTACAGCACAGGTTGAACAACTGGGAGATACAGTTAAGAGGCCAGACTGAGATGGTTCAGACATGTCCAGAGGAGGGACAGTGGGTACATTGCTTTTTTTCCCCCCCTTGTCCTGTCCGGCATTGTGACACTTAGAATTATTATACATTGGGTATATTGCTAGAAGGATGTTAGAAATGCAGCTGTCAGGTAAAAGACAAAGAGGAGATATATGGATGCTGTTAGAGAGGACATGGAGGTAGTTGGAATGAGGAAAGAGGATGCAGAGGACTGAGTGAGATTGAGGACTCACTGTGACAAACCCTGAAAAAGGAACGGCCAAAAGAAGAACAACAGCCCAGAGTAATTGTGGGTACCAGTAACAATTTTCCCAGAGGACCATTTTGACAATCAATGATTTTGACTAGCCCTGAACTGAAGCATGAGCACAGTACCTGCATATACATCATCACATTATCTGCAAATACAGACACAAAAGGATCGTGTGTCTGTGTGAAATAGGCTTATGTCGAGGGATGATGTTTCTAGGCCGTTTCTTGTCCTTAAGCCTCGTTTTGTCCAGGTGTGGTCTAGACTGATTGAAAGAAAAACTTGAACAATACTGGTCTTAACTTCTATCTCACTACAAATAGTGGGTGGAAACAGGAAGCATGTGTTGCTTACTAATGCTCCAAATAGGTGGAAAAGATTAATGTACTGGTATTAGACTGATATTTTAATATATTTGGAATTTTGGCTTATTTTTATGAAAATGTATTTAACTTCTAGTTACAATTATTTAAACCTCCCACTATATCTCTAAAGCAATAAGAGAAACCTAGTTTAGCTAGTTAATGTTGTAGACAGTAAAAAGGATGGTATAGGCTTCATTAAAAAAAAATCAGCTTTTATTTATCTAACGGTAGCAATTATTTTAAATGAATAGTGCCTTTGAGGTGATGATAAAAATATAATTTTTTTAGAATTATCCATTACAATTCAGTCTTTGTGATTATTTATCCAAGTTTTTAAGCTGAAGTTGAGTATTGTTAAAAAAAAAAGTTAGCCCTAAAATGTTTTTAAGCCAAGAAATACATTTTTGCACATTGACATTTTGTTGTATGTACTAATATAATTCAAATTATTGCCTTTGCTCCACAGTAAAAATAAATACATTTATATTTCAGAGCTGCTGCATGTGAAGACGATGACAAAAGCAAGATGACTTCTGAAGCTCAAGTGCATTAAAAAGGGAAGTCAGAGCTGCATGGGATTTCTGCAATGAAAAAAAAAATCTATTATGCTATGAGTGTAGTTTAGTACAAAGACATACACAGTCTCGCTTCAGTACCAGGAACCTATTTACGTTTACGCACAGACAACCAGACTTCCCTGAAGAGAGGAACCGCGATAAAAGTAACACGTACAAACCACAAGACGACATCGGGCCCCAAGCAGCCACAAACGGGTAGAAACCACGTCATGATCCGAAGCCTCACCCAGGCTCTGTCACATGAGCAAAAATATTGTTCACGTGTGCCGCAGCACTGCCGTGTACATAGGCAGGTCTCTTACTTTAAAGCAGGTTGTGAAGTTGCAGTTTAAGAGAATGCACATCGATACTGGAGAAAAATTCAAGCATTTAAAGACTTTTGTTTTGTAGGGGTTTGATAAGCAGCCCTTATGCAAAGAGAAAAATTAAGACGTGCAACTGCTGTTAAGTAGAATAATTTATTGCGGCTCTTTCTTTATTCCTCTGTTTTAGTTCATTAACAATACTTACAAGTTTAAAAGCGCCAAGCATTTACAGAGCGTACAAACATTTCACATACACGCTACAATCAGATAATATTGGAGGCTCGTGGCTTGTTGTGGTGGTTTCCAGACATGGCAGGAATATGATGACGTGGTCCTAACAAGTCTTCTGATCAGCCCCAACAAACCAAGCCTCTTCAGCATGTCAGTGATCATCACTTTCATACTGCTGTTATTTACAGTAGCAGGGTGGAAACATTGACCGACTCTTAAAAGAGTATTGCTCTGGATTTCTCAAACTCGTAGAGGACTGAGAAGAGTCAGAAATTAAGAGTGAAATAGAATTAAGATGGCGTTTTGATGGCATGGAAATAAAGTGTGAGCCAAGAAGCGGGGAAGGGGAAGGACATTAATTTATGGATTTAAAAAAGATCAGGAAATCTGAATATGAGCATGTTTTGCTCCTTAAATGCACAAAACAAGTTGTGAATTAAACAATCAAACGCTGCTGTATGGAGAGAAACATTACTGACATTCAGCTCTAATTGTTTAGCTTCTAAACTGCAGCAGTAACGCATTACTCGTCTAAAGTGAGAGGTTGAGGAGTTCATTCAGCATTTGGCTTCTTTATATTTAATTTAGACTTTCTTGAAGCTAAAAGCCCTCATCTTTTTAATCCCTCAGCATCATGCTCATCTCATTTGTAAAACAAGTTCATTCTGACGTCATATTTATCTTTAACCCACTTCCATGTACAAGTATAAAATTATAGAATTTAAATATTTATTTTTTCTATTACAAACTATATTTAGCTTTCTGCTTGGTAACCTGCATCCTTAGACTGAAAGCATTAATGAATAACATGAAGTGATGATTGAATGTGAAATTCAGTGGTTCCCAACCCTGGTCCCTGAGGAACACCACCCTGCTTGTTTTAGTTGTCCCTCTGCTCCAACACACGTGATTTGAATGAAAGGGTGATTAACAGCCTTCTGCCAAACTTAAGTAATTAAACCACTGAATCAGGTGTGTTGGAGCAGAGAAACAACTAAAACATGTAGGATGGTGTTCCTCAAGGACCAGTGTTGAGAACCACTGGTTTAAATGATATACGAGCCCTGTGCCACCTACAGCAGCTGCATTTCAGTTTTCTTGTTTGTGACGCTAACAAATGTTGATTCACCTTTATGAATGAGCAGATTATGGTTGTTGCTTTGAGCTAGGAAGTTTGAACGAATGCCAGTGATGCGTAAAAAATAAAATAGGTCAAAGTTCTTGTGGTTGCTGTTACATAAATAATCATCACACCCGCCTCAGGTAACAATCACATTTAAAAAGCTGCCTTCACACACATCAGCATGTGCTCCGATCAGTAAATTCAAATGTCTGGCAGCGGTGGAAGAGTTACAACAAACTGGGTATGAGCTCATAACAGAAGACTTTGTCATGAGTTGATTAACAAGAAATTATGGTGAATTTCCATGTGGGTTAAACAATTAAATCACATAGGAACACACAAGAAACCCATGGCGACAACTGTTCACAGATGAGACGTATAACAGTGAAACGACGAGTGCAACTCATCGTTTTCTGTGAACACCATGTTGGTTTGAACATAGCAGGGACTGTGTGAACGGACAGTTGCAGCATTAGCATGTACGTGAGTTGGAGTTTATTCATACAGAATCAGATCGAGTACAAGTCTTTGCTGGTTGACGTTTGTGTGATAAGAACGTGACTCGACACTGAAGCGTCAGAAAAGATGATGTGCTTGGAGTTCTACTGGAATTTGTCCTTTGTTTTCTGAGCAGAAAGTGACTTTCTTCATGTGCAAACACAGACGATGAGATGCCTTAAGACTTCTTAAGACTATTTACATCACACACTGCCTATCAAAATATACAGCAGCTGAACAGGATGGGCTAGACCTGTGTGTGTGTGTGTGTGTGTGTGTGTATAAATAATTTTGTGCAGGTTAGTTAATCCAGCTCTGGTGACTCGGGTGTTTCAGTGCGTATCTCTGCCTCTTGTCTCTTCAAGGACTCTGTCGCCGTCATACTGTCGACAAGAGCATCCTCGACCTGCGGCTTGTCTGCTGCCTCTGAAGCTTCATCAGTGGGTGTGACCGTCTCATTCGTTTCAGTGGTTTCATCTTGTACGGTCGTATCCGTTTCATTCGTTGGTGACCCATCATCCTCGTCTATTTTTCTGAAACCATCCTCCTCCTCTGCGATGGAGGCGTTTAGTCTTTGAAGGGAGTAAGGGAGGGGATGCAGGTGGGGCGAGTCCGCAGGAGGCAACAGCGTGAGCGACTCTACGCTCAGGGCGTCTGCGTTGCTGTCCGAGAGGAGGGAGATTGTGGGCTGGGAGGCCGGAGTGAGGCTCGGCGCCAGGGTCGGAGGAGCTGAGGAAACTCGCATTACTTCCTCACCTTCTCCACCTGAAGAGGAAGATGGGGTGCGCTCCAAAAACGCAGCGTCATCTGTGGGCAGGAACAACACAGTTGAACACAGTAAGGGGAACTTTATCTGGCGACAACAGAAACCTGATCTGAAAGATTTGGCGACGCGTCTTTCAGAACTATCATGTAGATTAAATGACAGTTCACATTCTGACGCCAGGTCAAACATTTCCACTGACACAGCTCTCCAACTCTCCACAAATCTTGTGCCTTCGTGTGGGGAGTGTTTCCAATTAATAGTGCGGCGGGCAGATATACTCAGCTGTTTTCACTGCAGCAAAGACTTTTCTTTAATTGCAAAACCAATTTGATCTTAAATTTATAAAAGTCACCCATCTGTCTCACTTTGTTTAGCATAGTATTTACAGCTAAACTAAGTACTGGTATAACCCTTTGAAGCATTATGAAATTATAATTTTCAATAACTGAGAAAACCCTAAAACCCAAAGTTGTACCATATCAACCCTCAGCTGGGTGTTGTGCTTCAAGTTAAGGAACCAGCCTGTAGTGTGCCCTGAAAGGCACAACGGCTTCACGTAGCTTTTCACATAAACCACGACATCCCATAAGATGTCACAACAACTGTTTTTGCTGTGAATCACCACTGTGAACTATTGTGGCTTTGGTGGTTTGTATACGTGCACCACAGAAACACCCGGCACGTATACAGAAGGCAAGCATTTCAATTTGAGCTCAAATACTCTTACGAGCTGCGAGAGCGTATTTGTTATTGTTAATGGCATCCTTATCAAGGAATATCTTTCTGATGTGGGATCTGCTTTTCTAAAACTGTTGGCGCATATTATGCTAACAATGTGCAAAGCATTAGTTCAGTGTGCGTCTAAATCTTTAGCTGTGCGTGTGTGTGTTTTACCTGTAGGGCTCTGAGCTGAAATAGTGCTTGCAGTTACAGAGTCACATCTCCCTGTGCTTCCACTCCCACTGGAGGTGGGTGATGGGGAGGAGAGGGGTGAGGGACTGTGTTGTGGCACACAGTGGGCCACTGCGAAACCTGCCGACGGTGCGACATGCGAACAAAGACACACGTTCAGATCAGACGTGCTATCACTGCTAGCATGTTCTTTGACTTTCTAATATGAGGGAGAACCCATGTGGGCTTTGTGCTCTGCCAGGGAGACGACGTGTCCTCACAACGCTCAACGTCACTGAAGCACGTCACGTTCACCATCGACAATGGGAGGCTCCACGAGTGCAGCTGTGTGGAGTGGGTCTTGGGTTCAATTCTTAAAAATGGTAAATGGACTGTACTAATAGAACACCTTTTTAACATAGCTACTCAAAGCACTTAAACTGCTCCACCTGGGTGTATCCCAGGTGCAAAGGGTTAATGCAGAGAAACAATTTCACCATTGTATGGGAACATACGACGACACATAGCACTTTATCTTTATATTCTGATGCATGCTCAATCTTTATCTTTATCTTTACAACACAACCTGTGCACTCATTTACCCATTCATACTAGATCTCTACAAAGAATAATTAAAGCTTTCGATCACATTCATACACCGATGGGACACACATCGGAGGCAATGAGGGGTTCAGTGTCTTTCCCAGGGACACTTCCACATGTGACTGTAGGTGGAATCGACCCCCCCAACCCTCCCACTGGAGGACGACTGCTCTAACCACTCAGCCACAGCCGCTCCAAAGGTTCAGAAGAACTCGACTCATACGGCAGCTCAGTTTACTTTGTGCTGCACATCATAACCAGACAAACGGTTGAGTTTATTCTATTTAGTAATTTATCATTAACCTTTAATTTAACCTGATAAATCCCACGAGATCACAGATCCGTTTTGCAAGGGAGGTCTGGGCCTGAAGGCAGCCTAACATGCATGTTTTGGACTGTGGGAGGAAACGGGAGTACTCGGAGAAAACACACGCAAACATGAGGAGAACGCGCAAACTCCACAAAGAAAGACCCCAGGTCCAAACCAGGGATTGAACCCCAGGACCTCCTTGCTGTGAGGCAACAGTGCCAACCACTGAGCTGTTGTGCTGCGTTGCCAATTATTTATTTCTTATCTATCTAGTTATTAGCAGATTTAATAGTGTGAGTGCTGACAAGATTTTCAGTCTGCTCAGACAATCGATGTGTGTCTATGTTTGGCCATTTAAAGCCTTAGCTGTAAGACCTGAAGTGGGCCCTGGTAGTCCAAAAACAGCCTTTTTGCCTGTTTAAATGAAAAAGGTGTTGCCCTGTACATGCAATTTATCTCAAAATTTCTGTTAGCAAAATCTTATCCAAACTTCTGCAGTTTGTAAATGCATTTATATAGAAGCACTTTTCAAAAAATCTTGATAAAAAAAAAAAACCAAAACATTAGCTAGACACCAAATACCATTTTCAATGTTTCTTCCTACAAAAAACCCTGATTTGACTGCAACAGACAGGACTACAGAATATGTGAACTTACAAACTAAACTCTACATAGAGTACGACGTTTATTTTTTTTTTAGAAAAGGAAAAAGCACAGAGCACTTTTTAGCTGCAGTCTGAGGAGATGCATTTCTACACTAAAACCTCACCTGCAGGTTGGAACAAGACCGTCACTGTTAAGATCAAATCACAGATTTATTTCCAATAATCTGATATATTCATCGCTGGTCTGGGTTGAAAAGAGGGAACTCTTGACATGTTTTTACGCTCTGAGCCTCAGGAGTACTGAATGAACGCTGTATGACTGTTTGTCACCTGGTACTTTGTCAACAGAAGCAAACATAGCTCTGTTTGCCGTGGGGTCGTTGGGCGCTCGTCTCGACTGTTCGTAGAACCGGAACGGTAGACCAGTGGGTGATGCGTTTGCTGTCTGACCGAAACCCAACACCTCCGTTGCACTGGGCTGCACCGGCAGGTCCAGCAGAGCTGTATAAACACGACAGAAGCATAAACAGGCTAAGATAGCACAAAAACATTTGTAACTGTGAAATAATTCAGTAATTTGGTTGTATTTTCATTAGCTCTGTTGGTAAGAAGTGATTAATCCTGTTGTGAAGGAAACATTTGAAGCCGTCATGTGACTTCAGCGGCTACTTACACATGCACATCCTCCTCTATTTGCTGAAGCAGCGAGTCTGTTTTTCTGTATTTCTAAAGAACTAAATCACATCGAGGAGGAAGTGCAAACCATTGATCGGTGAAGTCATCAGTTTTTACAGAATAATTTTTTTAATGATTTTAGTATGCAGGCAAATGTTCTTCAGGATTTAGGGTCAACAATAAAATATTAAAAAGCATCTCAAAGACCATGAAGGAGGAAAGATTTTCTTATCTGCTTCTACAACTTCTCTAATAATTATCAGTAATGAATGGAAGTCCAGAAAGAAACAAGGGCGAGAAAAGTGATTTAAAATAAAGAAGTCACATTTTAGAATTAGCAGAAAGACATTTTCTGGTGAAAACATGCAATTTAGGGAAATGAGACACCCATGTTCTTAAAAAATTCACTTTGATTTGTGATACTTAGTAAATAAAAAACACATTTAGTGAGATTTGATGTCATGTGCGTGCTGAATCTAAGTTTCTGTGAAACCTGCTGATGCACAGTGAAGAACCGTTTCATCTACTTGTAGCTTTTTATTCACAGAAGCATCCTTTTATGCAAAAAGTGTCATTTCTGCATTTTATTGTCTTACCTGCAATCCTCTGCATCTTCATGCGTCGGGCCTGAATGCGACCTTTGGCCAGTCGCTGCTTGGCGATGATGCAGCGGATGTGGTCAGCGAAGATGAAGTTGGCCTGCAGGATGGGCAGGGGTTTGGCGTGGGGATTGGAGCTGGGCTTATGAATGACAATGTTCAAAGCTCTGCTGTCGTCCTCCACGCCCGACACCTGCATGTCCTTTAGAAAGAGAGAAAAAGCAACAATGAGTGTTGGGAGTTAAAACTGGAAGACTAAAAATGGGAAGAGGAGCTGGAAAAAAGGAGAAAATAAAGTTCATGTAAGTCGAGAACAGCTTTGTTTTTCATTTACTGAGAACAGACGCATAATTGAGAGACGAACCTCAACATTCTTAGAGTAAATTAAAAAAGTTCAATATATTTTATAAATACTCCTGTATTTTTCACCATACCCGTTACACCGCTCTATAAGTCGCATCAGTCCAAATATGTCTAATAAAGTGGAAAAATCCATAAATATGTCGCTTCGCCGTATACGTCACATCTATTACGCGTCCCCACTGACAACCTGGAAATGTGGGCCGGTGTTGTGCCAAAAATAGATTGGCTGCCAAATGGCGGCCGCGGGAGCGTGCACGGGAGGACTTTAACAAGAATTTAACGAGATTAACACTTAAAAACTATTATTTGTTTGCTCGAAATTATAGTAAAGGTGTCTCTCAGTTGAACTTTTCCTTAATAAATTAACTTTAATGGTCAAATTAGCTGCATTTTACCGGGCGGAGCAGCGAATTGATGCTGATTTGACGGTTGCTCCAGGCGAGCTGGACGTAGGTGGCAGGCTATGGTAAGCCGATTGTGCCATTAATAGCCACTTTTACCTACAGTATTACATGATACAACGGCATGCCACAGTCCTCGAGTTCCATCTAGTGGCTAAAAATGGTAGTGTTCAATATTTTTAGTCAGAATGAATGAAAACAGTCTTATCTCAACCAAAAATGGTTTATAAATATGGGAAAAAACATAAATACGTTGCTTCGGTGTATAAATCGCAGGGCATGAAATTATGCAAGAAAAGTGACTTATAGGCCAAAAAATATGGTAATCATTCCAATACAACTTATTTTGATGAAATGGCAGTAAGTCATACACCGATATAAAAATGTACAAGTTGCTGCAGGTCAGGCTGTACCTGCTGCACCACATGACTAATGATGCTTTGACTTGTCTCAACACAAAGAAACATCTTCCTTCTTTTATGGTCGCATTATGATAAACTTAATACATCAAAGACTAAAAAATGTCAGCTGTACATAAATGATCAGAAGAATTAGCAAAGGATAATAGGAGAAGGATTAGCAAATTCATGTTGGGGTGCATTAAAAATTAAAGCACACTTTACAGACTTATCAAAGTGGTGTTTTTATTTAATTATTTGTTATGGATACACTCACACAAAAACAAAAATGGCTCAAAGAAACCACTTCTCACGTACCTGCAAAAGGCCAGCGAACTTGACGACGCCCCATCCGAGACGTTTGGTTTCTGGCTCAACCAGACTCATTTGGTACACGTCAACAGCGAGGAACCTCTGGGCTTGGATGCCATCTTTACTGACAACCATGCAGGCTATTAGATCACTGTTATCTGAAAAAGATGACAAGAGTCAAATTTATTGCAAAACTGACAAAGACAAATGAGAAATGTATTAAATTCAATGGGTTTTGCCGCTTGAAGCAAAGATGTTTGATTTGGTCACAAAATTATATACAATTATAAATACCATCACATGAGCATCATTTTCAAGTGTTGAAAGACTATCGGTTCTTTAAAGTTCAGAATAAATCGGTGAAACTTCCAGTTTTGGATTGAAACTACTTAAGTTTATTCACCACAAACATTCTCCTGAGAAAGACGCACACATGCTTTGACTTGTAATGGGACACCAGCGCTTACAACCCCCAAAACAAAACACTTCACTTTTACGCTTCATATAAATTGCATGTTCTTAAGAACAACTAACTTGGGACACATTACCAGACTTACTTAGCCACCTACAAATAAAACAAAGCAAAGCAATAACCCAGACGCACTGGATCACCCTGTCTTTAGCATCTTAAACCATTTGGACAGGTTATTTTCTGACCTGTGATGTGTTTTAACAAACTGTTGTGTGTTCATACAGAAGGAATATACCAAGACATAAAGACTTTTTGTCCAAACACACACCATTAGATTCACCTAAAGATAACTCTGCTCCCACGTGTCTGGAACAAACATAAAGAGACGATAAAGCCACGTATGAGTGTATGCAACCCAGTGAGGCTAAACCTATCGACAACCTGATCTGCCCCTGCTGGTGCTGGCTGACATCTCGCCCACTCGGCTGTCTCAAAGTGTAAACAAGTAATAACAGACACAACCCACGGCTAAGATCTCATGCAGCTTCTCAAACCTCGTCCTTCCCACTTTTTATACTTTTACTTCCTTCATTTATTTTCTCAGATATGCTGCCATCACACTTTGAACCATCACTGATTCAGGAGAAACTTTGTTCCTTATCCCGAGTAAAGCCGAGGTATTTTCTAGTTGAAAAATAAATTAGGGAATGTTTATAGGTTAAGTCCTCTAATGAAATGGGGGTAATAAATATATAGAAAAAACACCCCTGGTGTCATTTTAACTTCTACAGAAAGAATGTATAGCTAGCTCAGTCACTGAAATGGGACACTGAGTAAAAAAAAGACACTCATTTATACAGAATTGTTGAAAACGCTGATATTTTTAACCCCCGGCTTTGGTTTTATTCCAACAGAACAGTCAATGAAGTGTCTCACTATGACAGAGTTTTTTTTATTATTAAACACATCCCCCCACCACAAGGAAAAAAGGTACATTTTAAAAAGTTTTTTTTTTTTTTAAGAATCAAGTGATTGTATTGCCTTCTGCCAAATCTGCCAAGGTATGAGGAGCATCACAGTGACACTCAATGGTGACACCGTTTTCATCAGAGTCAGAAAAGAAACAAATGTGACTCCGTTGATTTCATCTATTCATTACTATAAAGCCCCTCCTAAAATCTATATCATTATGCTGGTAGACAGCACATATTCACAAGTACATATGTCATATTACGTTTTTATTTTATTTTACTGTTGGATGTAACTGGGACCCTGAGTACACAATCTCGGTCCACCACATGTCAACATGTGCGAATGACAATAAAGAAACTCTGACTGATTGAAGAAATAGCTAAATTTTCCGACTGGTGTTATTGCACTTATTGTCTTCTTTCAGCTTTTCTCTCTTCATGGGTCTCAACAGTGAGTCATTCTCCTCCATCTCTGTCCTCTGCATCCTCTGTCCTCACTTCAACTACCTCCATGTCCTCTCTAACTGCATCCATATATCTCCTCTTTGTCATTTTTTCCTGGCAGCTGCATTTCTAACATCCTTCTACCAGTATACCCACTGTCCCTCCTCTGGACATGTCCAAACCATCTCAGTCTGGCCTCTCTAACTTTATCTCCCAGTTGTTCAACCTGTGCTGTACCTCTGACGATCTCATTCATAATGTTTCTGTACAGTGCCCTAAGATGACTCCTGTTGTGACTTGGTGCCACATAAATAAATTGAATTAATCCTATCCAGCCTCGTCACTCCTAAGGAGAACCTTTATCTTCATTTCTGCCACTTCCAGTTCTTTTTCCTGTCTTTTTGTCAGTGCCACAGTCTCCAGACCATACAACATAGCTGGTCTCACAACTGTCTTGTAAACTTTTCCTTTGACCTCTGCTGACACCCTTTTGTTGCAAATCACTTGAAACTTTTCTCCATCCTGCCTGGACTCTCTTCTCCTCTTTACCACATTCCCCATTTTCCTGGACAGTGGACCCCAAGTACTTGAAGTCCTGCACCTTTGTGACCTCTGCTCCTTGTAGCCTCACTGTCCCACCAACTTCCCTCTCATTCACACACGTACTCCGTCTTACTACAGCTTATTTTCATTCCTCTTCTTTCAAGTGCAAACTGTCACCTCTCCAAGTTCTCTTCCACCTGTTCCCTGTTCTCACAACAGATCACCCCATCTGCAAATATCACCTGGTGTTATTGCACTGATAAAAAAAAAGAATAAATAAATAAATAAATACAATAAATTTATATTTAAAAGTTTACCTAGGGATGCCCCAATGTGAAGCTTTGAATCAGAAAACATTTGTTTAAAACAAGGATGCTGGTTTAATTTTGGGGGGCAAGCCTCTTGGTTGTATTGAAAGCCACGTGACATACATATACACACATGTGGAATCACTATGATTAAACAATTATTAGATGACGTGGGAGTGGAAGACTAATGGTCAGAAATAGACATTTATGAGTGGGAGGTGGCAGGTTTTAATCTGCCTACACATGAAGGGAAAGAAAACTTCCCCTACTCATTACTAAGAATGTCTTAGTTAACCACCTGGCTTACACAAAAAAGTGGAAAGTATTTTTTAAATCATACTTCTGTTGAATACAGCCCAGATGATCGTTATCGCTGAACAGATAGTTTAAGATGACCTTTTTGAGTATTATATATTACATGAAGTGTAATACACCAAATCACATATTCGTAGGTACTTACTGTAATATCTGGTTAGTTGTGAATGAACTACAAAATATTTTAACGGAGAACGCAGACAGTGAGAAATAGATGTTGAAATCAAATTGGCGACAAAGTCTACTGCTGTGTCACTGCTTTGTTCCATTTATCAGACCACAGGTTTACATCACTGCTCGCCAGTTGGGTTTCCAAAATGAACAGAAACTGCAGCTGACTCAACACAGATGACATGATAACATTTAAAGGCCACAACTATCTTTGTATGTGACAGATAGTGTAAGCACCAATACTGAGGAAACAAAAACATGGAATCTAAAGATGACTTCCTCTAACACTAAATCTAATTCTATGAAAAACAGACAAACTACAGCTGATAATGTTTTACACACACAAAAACCCCCCCCTGCAAATGCCCCTGTTCAATCTCAAATATGTATTTTTGTATCACCCTTAAAATGAAAAGTTTGTGTGTTCACTACAACTGAAGTGCTATTTTTTTATTTTTGAGTTTTTCATATCATCTTCCTCTGTTCTCAGAAGAGCAAAGATTAAGAGGAGCAGTTTGCCTTCACAAAAAGAGGGCCGACACGTCAGGAGAAGTATAAGTCTCTCCGTGTTACAGCTACAAAATGTGAAAAAGTGCATATAATTTCTATTGTGGTTTCATATGCAGAAAATAATACCTGATGAACGAGGTGTCAAGGGAATTTATGTAAAGGTTTATGGATGTTTATCACTGCTAACGTTACATTAATGTTGAACCACGTGTGTGAGGTCAAAGAGTTCTTTTTCTCTTTCAGAGAGGAGCCTGCAGGCACCTAACGCCTCCAAATCGAAGAGGCGGGGTCACTGTACTAATAAGCATTATAAAAACACTTCCTGCTCACTGTCCGGTTGCAGATTAGCATGACGAGGCTATAAGCATGTAACTTTGAACATCTGTAAAAGCCTGATTCATGACCGTCTGCCTTTACAGGTAAACTGGGTTAAAAATCTTCTCCTGTCTTTGTGTGGCTCCTTTTTGTAAGTAGATAATGAAAGGACATTTTTTATCCAACATTTTGGTCCTTCGAGCCGGATATCTGTCAGGTTCTAGCAGAACTTGTTGGATCTCTGTCTGGTTCTAACAGAACTTGTTGGATCTCTGTCCAGTTCTAACAGAACTTGTTGGATCTCTGTCTGGTTCCAACAGAACTTGTTGGATCTCTGTCTGGTTCCAACAGAACTCGCTGGATCTCTGTCTGGTTCCAACGGAACTTGTTGGATCTTTGTTTGGTTCCAACGGAACTTGATGGATCTCTGTCTGGTCCCAACAAAATTTGTTGGATCTCTGTCTGGTTCCAACAGAACTTGTTGGATCTCTGTCTGATTCTAACAGAACTTTCTGGATCTCTATCTGGTTCTAACAGAACTTGTTGGATCTCTGTCTGGTTCTAACAGAACTTTCTGGATCTCTGTCTGGTTCCAACAGAACTTGCTGGATCTCTGTCTGGCTCCAATAGAACTTGTTGGATCTCTGTCTGGTTCCAACGGCACTTGATGGATCTCTGTCTGGTCCCAACAGAATTTGTTGGATCTCTGTCTGGTTCTAACAGAACTTGTTGGATCTCTGTCTGGTTCCAACAGAACTTGCTGGATCACTGTCTGGTTCTAACAGAACTTGTTGGATCTCTGTCTGGTTCTAACAGAACTTGCTGGATCTCTGTCTGGTTCCAACAGAACTTGCTGGATCTCTGTCTGGTTCCAACAGAACTTGCTGGATTGCTGTCTTTGTGTGGCTCCTTGTTGTAAGTACATACTGAAATTATATTTTTTATCCAACACATGTTGGATATAGTTTATATTCAGAGGTTATCAAACACAAACGAGTAATTCCCTCAGTTTTGGTGAATTGAAATGAAAGGTTCTTGTCTGAACTGGCCTAGCACCAGTGTGTGTACGTATGAGTGGTGATGGGTTAAGGCCAAAGGTCTGTACAGAGGAGCAACATTGGTGCACATCATTCAGTGCTACTTGACTGACAGTAGATCCATCTCATGTTCTGGACTGCAGTCATCTAAGGTGTTCATGGGACATAACTACCACTAGAAATGGTTAAAGAACCAAAAGGTCCAGGAATTTAAAAATATTTGCACATTTGTTTGTTTAACCCACCTTATGATGATATCTCTTAAAACAGTCACTGTTTAAAAGATTCCAAAAAATACACGAGTGACAAGGGGTTGTGACTGCAGAATATTTACACTTTTGTTTAAATAATAAAAACACAACATAAGTTTTTTAATGCATGCATGCACACGTTAAAGTGATTTTGCTAAGTTTGTATGCTTGGTATAAGAGAGCATCCTCTCTCTGCTTCACATTATTGTGCAGATGTACTTGTGACATCCTTCACAGTGCATGTTTCCAAATCATCAACACACCTGTGCACAGAGAGAAAAACGTGTTCAGGTTATCAGAATGTGTGGGAAGTCTTAAAGCCGAGTGCCTGTGTGCTCAGCGCTGCATCGCTGTGGTTGCTAATGTTTGCATGTATCTGGGTCTGCTCATCCTTCTGGGTTGTAGCGCTACTGAGAAAAATCTTGAGACTGAACGGCTGAGGTTTGTCGAACACATGTGGTAAAGCTAATCTGAGGTAAACACAAAGATCATCTCTTTCAGCTCTTGTTAGGAAGAAACACCCATTTTAATTCAGATAACAGTTTAAAAATAAAATGCAGTTCTTTCCCATCACTAGGTTTGACTTGGTGTCTCTGTGTGCATCTTACTGAGGTCTAAAACGTCATCAGTCTTAATGAGATCTTCAGGTCTGGTCAGAGGGAGCTGAGTCTCTAGTTCTCCCTGGAGCTGGAGTGACAGGGACCGCAGCATGAAGAACACTCGGATTGCCTGAGTCATGACAGAAAACACACAGCAGAGGATTTTTATATTTAAAAAGACTCAAGAGATGTGTAACTATTTAAATAAACAATAATCTTCTTCCCACAGTAAGAAAGTAATAATATTGTGATATTGGCTATTTAGAATCAGAATACTCTGACATATCCAGCTTAAAACAAACAAGTCTGTTGACTTAGGCAGATCTCCATATCTAAACCACGAGTTAGATCGTCTAAGTGTTGAACTTTATGCTAAGTGACTAGAAAAGAAATGATAAATTGAAGAACATTTCTTAAATAACCACATACATGTGCCCAAGGTTGAAATAAAAACTGGTTTTACTTCCCAAGATATTAAAGGTAGGCTTTTCATACATGAAGCATGTTTTAGCAGACTTTAAAATCAAAACAATGTAACATGAAGTACAGCTGTTATTTATTGAACCCGCAGCAAACACCCTGCAGCGCTGCATTCATTTCATTTCAAAAGGAAACCCATGTAAAGAATCTGAATCGGCTTCCAAGAAAGCTAATAACCTGTTATAGTTAAACACTGGGTGGAATGTGGACAACGCTTGTGTGTGCATGTGTGTGTGCGTGTATTTACACACCCGGCGAGTCTTTTCCACATCTCCACAAGGCAGTCTTTTAACAAAGTCAATGCCAGTCAGGGGGGTGCCAGTGGGTGGCAGCAAGATTGAAGCATCCATCATCAAATACTCCACATTCAGGGGTTTACTCTGCAACAAACACACGAGTCGCACCACACGCAGCAAAAAATAAATAAATATACAAATAAATAAATAAAAAGTTGACACTAAGATCTGTAAAGTTTAAAATTTAAGGGGGGGAAATATAAAAAATACATTGAACACTAAGGCTGCAAAATATACTTTTGTGAGTCCAGTCAATGTGTGCAAACATCAACAGTGAAATGACTGCAAACACATAAACTGTCCCCCCGGGCCTAAACACCCACAGCCCAATGGGCCTAAATGCCAACACATATAGAGTGCTGCGATGATAAAACTGAAAGAGGAGTGGGAAAAAAAAGTGTTTACTCCAACTGATGGCTATCACATATTAATATCACATTTGTTTGTTGTCCTAATATCGTGCCATTCAATACAAAACACAAAGAATAACCAACCGTCATGCTTCTGTATTCATCTTCAAACATGTCCAGAAAGATTTCTTCGCCCTGTAACAAAAATTTAAAAAAGACAGTTTGTTTAAAAACAGAATGTGGAAAAAGGTCTCTGGTAAACCAGATACACTCATTTTATTTATTATTATGGTGTAAATGTTAGCTCTTAGTTACGATTTTGTGTTTTTGTGAGTCAAAGATATTTTTCTTAAATACTCGCTGCAGAAGTGAAACATCAAAAGGTGGAAAATACACTGCCTGGCCAAAAAATACAAGTTGCCACCTGGATTTAACTAAGCAAATAAGTACAAGCCTCCTATTGGATAATTACTGCATGGGCGGTTATCTTTCAGCTGCAACAAGTTATTTAACCCCAACTGGTGCAATGAGTTGCTTCTCATTTCTTAAACAACCATGTTAAATACTCATGGTGTGGTTGTGGAAAAGATGTCAGTCTGTTTGAGAAGGGTCAAATCATTGGCATCAAGCAGAGAAAACATCTAAGGAGATTGCAGAAACTACTAAAATTGGGTTAAGAACTGTCCAACGCATTATTAAAAACTGGAAGCATAAATCCTGAATGATCGTGATCGGCGATCACTTAAACGTTTGGTGAAATCAAATCTAAGAAAAACAACAGTAGCACTATGTTTAATAGTGAAAGTAAGAGCATTTCTACATGCACAATGTGAAGGAACTCAAGGACTTTGTGACTGAACAGCTGTGCAGCCTTAAGAAAACCACTAAACAGTGATGCTAACTAGAAAGAAAAAAAAAAGGGGGGGGGGGGGGGGGGGGGGTTTGGATCTGTATTTAGTGTTAATTTGTTCGGTTGGGTGGGGTTTGGAAATGATAACTACGGGTTGGGGCTGGGTCGGGTCTGATTTTTTGGGCCTGAATGCAACTCCAGTGACAGGGCCTTTATTTGAGAAACCTATTAGTCCATTCACAAGTGGGACAGAGTTACACATCTTATGAACACAAATATAGTCCGCGTCATATGTATTAATAAGCAGGTACAAAAACAGGGATTGTAAGTAAACTCTTTCAGGAAAAAAAAGGTTTGATGAGGATCCCTTTCCAACGGAATAATGCTGCACTTGTGCTTGAACAAGTGGAAGATAATGAATGTTTGTCTGCGCTCCTATTTCTGCACTGCTGCTGCATTCAAAGACCTTGAGACTTTGAGGACTTCTCTGTGAAAAGGAATCTATGGGAGACCCCTCTTCTAGTGAACATGACACTAGCACAAGACAATAATAATCTGCCATGTGATACATCGTTCATTTAACCGTGGAAGTAGGAAAACAATTCTTAAGTGACTTGCGTCAATAGAAAAAGAATAATGTTGTGACCCAAAACAGAACATGACGAACAGAAAAGGCCAAGTTGTTTGGACACGCAGCTCTAAGCTCGGAGGACCTTTGTTGTTTGTGTGTACACTAAAAATGAGCTCATCCTGTTCACATAATGAACAAGTTACACAAACATCTCCCACTTATTCAGAACACCCGTCAGTTTCGTTTTGTGTTTAATGACCTAAAAGAAACATCAATAAATGACCTCTGTTTTAGTTTTACTCCTTCACACTGGTTTTAGAAAAATTAAAAGAATTTGAACATGAACCCTGTAAAACCTCACATTAAAAGCTTGACTTTTCAGTTTAGTACGGCAATAAGAAAGTGATCCTCCTTAAAACAGGCAATAATAGTCGATCACAACACACACTGAGTGACAGGTTACGATATGACATGAGTTCATGTGTTATTTTCAAGTTTTTACTAAAATGGCGACAACTCCTTCAAGAAATTCTAGGCCTTTAATTCCAAATGTAATAGGAAAACTAATTTGAAATCATGAACCATAAAGAAAATCAACCCGAGATTGATTCTGAAAGTGATATCTGGAGAGAATCATAGCAAAACTGAAAGCATCAACTGTACTGAAAACTTTAAAAATTTACCATTTTGTCTATTTGTATTGTAAATTCAACAAGAGAACATCTGCAGGTACGGTCTTGCACACCAACAACAGAATTGCTGTTTTTATCGGAAGTGGGAAGCTTACTTTCACTTTTAAGGATCCAACAGATCAGACTTACAGTAACTTCTTAGGGTTTTGTTATGAAATTGTGGTCTGGAAAAACTGGATGTAAAACAAGAACTGCTCATTTTGATCCTGCACAACTTTCCTCTTGTCACCTGCCCCCATTAGGTCCACCCTCCCTCCAAAAGTACAGCAAGATGTTCTTGTATAACAGCTGAAATCGTATGGTGCAACACAAAAGAAGAAAAAGAAATGTAAAACATTTTGCAACAGTAGAACGTGTTACCCAATTTTAATTTGTTCTCAGTCGTTTGCTGCCCTTTAAAATGGCTTTTTTAAACTGTTTGTGTGCAAATGGGAGATGGCTATGGAGGCATGTGTCTTTGTACTTTAGTTCATAAATTACTGCACGAACTTATTACATTGTGTTACTGATGCATGTTTACCTTGTAGAATGTTCGCAGTAGAAGCAGACTTTCTTCTCGAGCACCCTGAAAACAAAAGCACGCCACTGAAACATTCATTCAGCTTTCAGACTCACAGAAACAACACTTCTGTGTACAGAAGTCCCTCGCTACTTTGTGGTTCGACTTTTGCGCTACTTTGTGGTTCGACTTTTGCAGACTCGCTCCTTCGTGGTTTTTCCAATGATTGTCAACTTTAATATTACTCACGTGATTGGGACGTATTAAATAAAAATTTAACGAAAAATAATAATACAGTACTTCGGACAGGCACCGCCATTTTGTAGTTTTCTTTCAATAAGCCTACACTGTAAGGCCAGTCAAAAAGGACTACACCACCCAAAAGTCAAAAGTGCTTCTAGCCGCTGCTTTCAGCCAAAATGGAGGGGAAAGTTTTGATCCAATCCAAACCCGACTAAAAATAGGGATGGGGCTGTCCGGTATCCGTATCGGGCTCCGATACCAGCATAATTTACGTATGGGACTTTTTTCAATCCAACCAACAAAGATTTCCGATCCGATCCATTACTTGGACTGTGTCCAAGTAAAATGTCTCCACATGCGATTCCCTGCCTGCTGCTCTGCAAGTTGGCTTCAAACTATGGAATGGATTTAATGAACGAAGGCGTGTTTCATGAAACCCAGAGTAATAAGACCCGCCTCACATTCAGAAAATCCATTTCATAGTTTGCAGCCAGCTAAAACGTGAATAAATACATGAGAACTGAGAGCAGCACTGTGGCTAATGGCTAACCAACTTTTCATCGTAACATGTCCGCTGTGTGGAAGTATTTTACACTTAACACCACAAGACAGCAACGTGCAATGTCTGCAGAGCCGATGTACCGAGAGGAGGAAGCTCTGTCACGACTTACAATACATCGAACTTAATAAACATTTGAAAAAGCACCACATTAAAGAGCACAAGGATTGTTTAGCCAGGCACCGTGTTAAAGTTAGTTTTACGTTGGACATTCAAGCTCCGTGGCTTCAGCGGTGTGTTTCTCTCGTTCAGGCCGAAGCAGACAGTCTGATTTCAGTCAGCCGCGCTCAGTCTGCCCGGCTCGGAAGAGCAGATTGAATTCAGACTGTCTGCTTCACAGCTTGATTGAATATTTGCAGCCAAGATATAGTTTACATATACATAGTTTATCCAACATTAATAAAACATACCTCAAGTTGCTTTTTAGGACATGCATGAATGCATTTGTACAAATTGTACTTGAGAGGAAATTATTACAGCCTCATATAAAATCAATAATGATGATGATATCAGAATAGTATCGTATCGGCCGACATCCAGATTTAGATATCGGGAGTAGATAGGAAGTAAAAGAATGTGGATCGGTGCGTCCCTAACTAAAAAGTTCGGTCCTTATTCATAGTGAATTTGATGCTCTGTGGATGCAGAGAGCCGTATGGAACTGACCGGGAATTGGACCAGAACTACTTCCAGCCTAATCGGTCAATCTGAGTGCTGCTTGTCGGCCCATGAGGCCTCTCGAGCGAGGAGGCATTGCTTGGAGGTCCGGTGTCTTTTCCGGAGCTCACCCGGACTTCATCCAGATCCCTCTGGATTATTTGGACTCGATCGGGACCACTGTGTGGTTTTGTGCTGGCTCTCCGAAGGTCTGCCTCGCTCTAAAAGCGTATTGGTGCTCAACGGCTGCAGAAAGCCGATCAGAGCCGGACCAGAACCGGACCACGGCTGGTGAGTCCCAGTACTGTACAGTACATATATACGCATGTTGTTAAAATGACATAGGATTAACAGTTTAGAACATTGCAAGAGGTTTATAAAGCCTTAGATGTATATATATATATATATATATATATATATATATATATATATATATATAAATACTCAAATGAATATAGTGTTTCTACTTCGCGATTTTTCACTTATTGCGGGGGTGTCCAGAATGTAACCCCCATGATCAACAAAGGACTATCTTATCCTGATGCATGCTCAATAATACAAGTAGAAATATTCTAACAAAGTTAAGTGAGGTCTGGACTGATTTTGGGCGGCTGTGGCTCAGTGGTTAGAGCAGTCGTCCTCCAATGCGAGAGTTGGGGGTTCGAATCCACCAGTAGTCACATGCCGAAGTGTCCCTGGGCAAGACACTGAACCCGTTGTTGCCTCTGATGTGTGTCCCATCAGTGTATGAATGTGATCTAAAGCACTGATTAGTCTCATTAGAATGATTTGTTCAATTAACTTTGTAGAGATCTAGTATAGAGCTGTATGAATGAGTAAATGAGGCACAGATTGTGGTGTAAAGAGCTTTGAGTATCTTGAAATAAGATAGAAAGGCACTATATAAGTACAGTCCATTTACCATTCTTCTTGTTCAACAAGAAGAATCCGTCCAGACCTGACTTAACTTTGTTAGAATATTTCTTTATCTTTAGAAAAGTAAAAATAAACCACTTGTTCAGTCAGTAAAGAGACATCTTTATGATAAAACTCTTTCACGCCAAACAAGCAGACAACACAAAGAGATTCTACAAGGTCTTGCGTGCTCACAGTGCATCAATCTTTTTATGGGAAGAGCAGCTTATTGTTTCTTTCACGTGAGCGAAGGTTTCCCTTGAATTGCAGCCATCAAACGTGATGTCGTATAACTCGACGTATGATTTGCTCTGGAATCACACCACTAAATCAGACTCCTGGGCTTTTAAAGCCTTACTCGGAAGAGCTAATGCGTCGTGTGTATTTCGTATTGTAGTTCCTGAGAAACACTGTCATGTACAGAGAAACTGAAAATGAATCAGCCAGTGATTATTTTGTTTTGTTTATAGCGCACCACATCATCTCTGGGCAAAAATACACAGGAAACACAAACAAGTTTAGTCAGGTCAAACAAGAACAGTCCAATTTAATTCAAACTACACTTAATGGATCCGAGTGATTGAGCACGTCAGGATGCATGCGAGTCAATTCTGATCAATACATTACAATTTAATATTCATTTATGCCAACTAGAACACTATTTTACTTTTTGTTGTTGATTTATAAATTATTAATGGGGAATCTCAGAGGATGAACAATAACAGTAATGCTATCACTCCTGTTACACATCCTCATTAAAACAATAAACGCGCTTGAAGCAGAGGGCAGACAAATATATGGTGCAGAAGATGTTCCTGAAATGAGTTCAGGATAAAGGTAGAGTGAAGTTTTCATAAACTTTATAGTCACATTTTCTCACAGGGAAGAAGACTGACAGTAAATGCTCATCTGATCTATTTACAGTCGGATATAGTAACATCAGCAGCTGTTTCCCACAGCAGGGCAGAGAGCAATCTTAGCAGAGTTTACCAAAACTTTAAACATTAATTAAACCAACATTTTTCAGTCAGGTCATCTGGACAGTTTCTTTTTTTGTACTGAAACGTTTGGCCTTCGATCCAGAAGGCTTCATCAGTCAAGGAAACACACAACAAAACTGATTCTTCCCCCAACAGCTTACTCTAAAGTGGAACAAACCAGTTCTGCTGGTTTCTTTTTATTGAAACATTTCATCTTTCATCCAAAAGACTTCATTAGTCCGAGGAGGCAAACAAACTCAACAAAAAGAAATCATCCAGAGGACCTGACTTACCTTTGCTGGATTTTTCTACCTGGATCATTGAGCATGAATCGGGATATTTAAACATTAATATTTAATTATTATGATTAAGGTAATCTAAAATCTGTGTTCTGCATTAACTGAGCGACATCTCTAATATAAATTCATTTTATACAAGCCAAATAAACTAATTAAAAAACTGTGAAACAAAAACCAACTTCCAACACTCCTTTGTTCAGGACTCACTGACTGCGTCTGTTATTATTCGTGTAAAACAGGGATGCTCCTGACACCGGCGGAAAGCTTAGACTTCACACAGCTGCTGATAAACAGTGATTTTAAAAGATGAACACGTAGTTGAAATTTCCTCTAAACCTCCAGAGACCGGTCACAAACTTTGTTCTGAGACAACAAATTAATTGCCGAGCAAATATTCTCAAACTGTTATTATGAAAGTAAACGGATAGCAGGAAACGAGGATTAGTCTGAAGTGTTAGACAAACAAAACGAACAGTTTCCCAGAACGACGAGAAACGACAATAAAGCTGAGACGAGGGGAAGTGGAAAGAAAAAGAGGAGCTACAGGAAGTAAAGGAGAAGTTTGGACTGTGTGCTAAAATTGAAGAAAAGGTCGGATCATCTTCAAGAGAAAAATATTAAATTGAGTCATAAGAAGTTGGCTCTTCCAGAGAAACCCTCGTGTTCTAACGAAGTGGAGATCTATGGAACAAGCATGTTAAGCTCCAACTTTATGATTTCACCTGGGTTTTTTTTGGCACAAGTCAAATGTGACATTCTGATGAGTCAGAGATGTGCGTGTATATTTGTGTTTTACCTCCAAGCAGGCCAGATGGACGTCTTTGATTATACAGCAGTTTCCAGATAACACAGACTGCTTCAGTAGAAGACAGCTCAGTTCCAGAGTAGCAAGGCGCACTTTACCATCTGACAAACACAGACATGTATGAATAATCTGCATGAATTACCGTATTTTTTTTGGACTATAAGGCGCATTAGCGAAACAAAACAGTCAGATAAGTCAAACTTTATTCAACTCATTCACAATAACTCTCAACATTGTTCAGTTGTACCCACTGGTGAGATGTAACTAAGTACAAGTACTTTGTTACTGTGCTTAAGTACATTTTTCATGTATCTGTACTTCACTTAAGTAGAGTTAAACGTGGGTACTTTTGACTTTTCCTCCACTACATTTTACATTAAGTATCTGTACTTTCTACTACACTACATTTCTATAATGCGTTGTGTTACACGTTACATTCATGTTGCGGTTTTTTTATTTGTTCATTAATTTGAAAGTAGTGGTGAGAGGGGAGTTGGTCCATTGAATCACTGCAAAGTGGGCAAGTAACGTTAGACCTGCCTTCAAGAAGAGCTGGACCAGTGACATATAAATTCTAGTTTATACATCATTGAGCTGGGAGCACCTACAGCACCACTAACACACCCAAAATGGATTCCACCACGGAGAGTCAGCCAGAAGATGCACACTACCACGGCCTTATTGAAAGACTATTGAAAGACTATTGAAAGATTATTGAAAGACTATTGAAAAGACTATTCAGTACAGCAGGACAGATTCTCTCTCCCTAAAGAGCCAGACTGGACTCAAAAAACTTTGAAAACCAACTTCTTCTGAACTTGAACAAGAAATTCTTGATGCGACATTAAAATGTGTCAGTTCATGGATGTTTGGAGACAAGAGATGTCTCCAAATGACTCGACACTCTGGTCCAAGTTTTGAAAACGGTGTCAGGAAGTTAAAATATTGTTCACTATTGACCCATGACAAGGTCGACTAGACAGTATTTTAACTGGAGTTGATGACAAACTGGAGTTGAAATGATCAGATGTTCCTTTGTTAGTTGTGTCTAATGCTCCTTTTTTCAGACAGACAACTTTTACTTAAATATGTTTACAGCAGTTAAAATGACACATTGGTTTTGCTTTGTGTTAAATAGAAACTTTTAAAAGTATAATCATTCCTCTTTCTTATTTTGCTTAATGACATTTAACTCTGCATGTCATCCCTGAAATTCTGACGCACAGAATCACAAGTCCAAGTGTGAACTGTGTCACACAATAAAAACATGTATTATCTGAAGCATTGTTCATTAAAACAACACTATTAATGTATTACAGAAAATATACATACGGTAGGCACACTTGATGTTGTAGACCATTGTATTAGATATTACATTCAGCAAGTACTTTTACTTTAAAACTTTAAGTATTTTTAAAAGCAAGTACTTATTTACTTTTACTAAAGTAAAAATGTTAATGTGGTACTTCTACTTTTACTAGAGTACATTTTTGTCTGTTTATTTGTACTTTTACTTAAGTACTGTGTTAGAGTAATTTCTCCACCACTAGTTGTAACGCATACAATCTTTTTGAGGTCAGTAAGCACAACCAAAATTAATACATAAGGTGCACTGGACCTTAAGGCAAACTGTTGAATTTTGAGAACATTAAAAGATTTTAAGTGCGCCTTATAGTCCGAAAAATACGGTACTGTAGTTTGTTTATATTTAAAGAAAAATAAGTTGAAAATAAAGTTTCTAACCTGTAACATTTGGCTCAAATGTACTCCAAGTAGCTCACATTTTTATAGATACATTCACTTCTGTATGCCTTCTAGTAAAACACGTTTTTGTTATACGTGTCTCTGCTCCATTGTTTGGCTTCATGATGTGGAAATAATACTGAAAAGTACCAATAACTACAGAATACATAATATAACATTGTGTTACCTGGTTGCACTGCCTGGTTCATAATTCTGATCAGTTTTTCTACAAGAACCACGCTGTAAGAGTTTCTCTCCTGGTCTGGAACTGGTAACTGGAGACGCTCCAGAAGGTCCCGGTTTACACCTAAAGGCAAAATAAATGATTAAAACCTGGATCCATATTAGAAGCCAAACTGAGAGTTTTTACTGAACTGTGTAAAACACAGAAAACTGCCATCAACTCTGAGCCTGGACTATGAAGCAAAATCTGATCATTAAACTGATTTGACTCCATCCATTTTCATTTCACAATTGTATTGTTTTGATTGTGAACACAAAAAATACCACGTGCACATCCTGGATTCCAAGACTTCAGTTCCATTTGGCAAATTACCAGAATACATTTCTTCTTTTAAACTGAGAAAAAAGAAGCCACAGTACTCTGTGGACAACATTAAGAAGAGATGTTAAAATTTTAGCAGCACTTTACAACTGAATGCACTTGTTGGGAAAATAAATAAAAACATAAATGAAACTAAAATATCAGATACAATGTGCTTGTGCTTCTTTACCTTTTAAAAGTTTTAGGACTTTATTCACTCATTAGGCGAACTCATGAGGCAAGTGAGGATAATGCAGGTCAAGAAATATTAATCTGAGCTGCAAGTAGCTGGAAGGAAGGAGTCAACCCGAGTGTCTCTAGAATGTCTCAAACATTTCGTGCCATTTTTTTCAACAGTTCACTTATTAAACCAATCAGAATTGCTGCTGTATGCATCTCCACTTTGTCTGAATGTTGCCGCAGGTGTCTGCAACTCATCTCAAGAATGCTACAGCTGTAGTCTGACACCAGCACAAGATCTTTCCTCTGAGAGAAAACATCCAAGGAAGTAGTTCAGGACCTTATACCACGCTGCTGATAAATAATTATTGAAAAATTGGTCCAAATGTGCCCATCTTCCTTTCTAAAGTGCACTCCAGCAGATTAAATCATAAATGTGGGGGAAGTGGGCGAAGATGGACAACAAAATACTATAAAACCTCTACAGTTTTAATCTGCTCCATCGAGTTTTGCAGATTAAAAATGTGTATTTTGAACATTTTCACATTAAAAATAATGCAAATGTAAGCCTAATTTGTTTTTAGACAACAGTTTCATTCACAATATTTTTTAAGCATTGTGGCTGGCATGTACAGTGCCAATGGAGATACAGATGGAGATCAAAAAGTTCGTTTTTTCAATTAAAACTTTCTGACAAGTCAGGAGGGATGCCCTCGCTGAAGTTTTGCACTGGATCCAGATGCAGGACTGACAGGACTCAGGTCGCTGTCTAACAAGAAAACAATGCTTCAACATTTGCTCATCTTTGCTTCAAAATGTGACAAAAACGAGCCACAGCGTTAGCAATGTTGAGCTTTTAATGCGTACAAAGAAATGGTTCCCAATCCAGGTCCTTGAGGAACACCATCCTGTATGTTTTAGTTGTTTTCTTGCTCCAACACACCTGATTCAGTAATTTAATTACTTTCTCATGTTCTGCAGAAGCCTGTTAATCACCCATTCATTTAAATCAGATGTGTCAAAGCAGGGAAACAACTAAAACATGCAGGATGGTGTTCCTCGAGGACCAGGGTTGGGAACCATTGCATTAAAAGACAAATCCCTTCAAGATTGTAACTCCCACGGTCTGACATTTAAAAGAAACCTCATTTACAAAGTCAACATACAAAGACACATTTGGAAATGTGAGAAGATAAAGTTAACTCTGAGCTGCCAACCTTTGCTGTGGGAGACAGCGTACAGCAGGCAGAGGACAAACAGGGCGTGGTAGTCGTCATTAGTGCATTCGAGGGCGCTGTACACCATGTCCAAGAACGGTCTGTAGGGACAGGAAGATGTCACTCCACAGATACCTCATTCTTTTCAGCTCCTACATATGTGTACTAACCTGCTTCTTTGAGTGTGTGCACGGGTGGCAGCAGCTGTCTTCTCTTCATCAGTGATGTTCTGTTCAGTCAGCTCTGACACTTTACACTTCTCCATCACCACCATCTCTATTTCTGGACACACACACACAAACATTTTCTACTTAAACAAATGTTCAAAACTGTGGACACGTTCTCTTTCAGGCCATAGTTTTTTTTTAATTTTTTTAACAAATAACATCCAACACTTTCAGCACACTTGGCAGAAAATAGAAATATGAATGAATATCTGTAGTGATTCCTTCTTTTTGTGGTACAAAATGAATAAACGTGGGCAACAAACATGTTAAATGCCTCTTTTTACTGAACAAACAGCCATTTCTGAGTGACAGTATTAACATCTTCCAGAACATTGCACACACCAGATGTTCTCTAGGGTTTTTTTGTGCTGCTCTTACCACTCTGCTAAGTTCTGTAGGCGTTTTTCCAACCTTTTAGGAACACACATCATTTTGAAACTACTGTTATTCAGCCCACTTTTTAAAAAGTTACAGCATGTTCTTTTGGCCTTAGAAGGCATCAGTAAATAAATTCCCACAGACTCTCTCTATTCTGTCGAAGTAAAGAAGGTATCAGTCCAGATGAGTGAAATGGTCACAACACACACACACATATGGACGAACAGTCAGAGGAGCAGTGGGAGACAGGCGGAGAGGTGAGGAGTACAGGATGGATGGTCCGTCACTGAGGGAATGGACAGGTTGCTCTAAATGGTAAGTGGGTAGTTGATGCAAAAAATGAGGCCTAATGATTGACAAATAAATTATTTCAGAATTGTTCTGTTGTTTTTTCTTATTATTTATTAATAAAATAGATTTTAAGAGACTGTCGTGTTATTGTTCAATTATTCACTCAAATGAAAAGCAACAAAACTGAGCACACCTGCAATTGTAACACTGTATTGATTAAAAATGTAGTCCGAGATGCACCAATCAGTTTTTTACGCATATTTCGGTTTAGTTTTTTGTAAAGCGCTGACCTGATACTAATATCTTGATAGAACTATGTATTACAGTATTTTTGTAGTTTCTGGTTGGACTGTGTTCTTTTTTTTTCTGGTTTAAGTCAACCAACCACTGTTATGACCCTACAGTGCTCTTAATCTATAGACCCATTTCTAAACTGCATTTTCTGTCTATTTTTTTTAGGGAAAGTTGTTTTTAATCAACTTAAAAAGATTTTTAACTGCACAAAACATAGGTGAAAAATTCCAGTCAGGTTTTAAAACAGGCCACAGCACAGAGACAGCCATTTTAAGAGTTTTTAATGACCTTCTTGTAACTGGTGATGCAGTCTGCTGTCCTTTCATACTGTGGACTACAACATCTTGTCACAACAGTTTTATCCTGGTTTAGATCCTACCTGACTCACAGGAGTTTTTCTGTTCATTTAGGGAAATGAACTTCATCTGTGGCTCCTTTGACTTGTGGGGTCCCTCAAGTGTCCATTTTAGGTCCACTGCTTTTTAATCTTTACATGTTGCCTTTGGGGTCCATTTTTAGAAAATATAACATTGTTTTTCATTGCTTTGCTGATGATATTCAGTTGTATTTACGCATTAAATTAAACAGTTACTCTACTGGAACAAACCTTGAACTGTCTGAATGATTTTAACCTCCTGAGACCCGAGCTCTGGTTTGCGATGCATTTTTCATATCTCCTAGATATTTGTGATTAGATGGACCTGATATGTGTATAAATAAAGCTTCATCTTCGAACAGGAAGTTGTATTTTGTTACATGGTTATGGCATACTTTTGTAAAAAAAAAAAAGTCCTCAGATGGGGACAATAGGCTTATTTTACAGCATAACACAACATTAACATGGCTTAACAAAGTATAAAACACTATTGAACAGAGTGAAGTATAAGGTACAGCAAAGCCAAAATGTAATGTCCCCATATGTAGACGCAGGGTCTCAGGAGGTTCAAGTCTGGTTGAAACTACATTTTACAAATCAAAATTAAAATAAAACTCAAGTCATCAGCTTTGGTAAATATAATGCTCTTGGCACTCTTGGCTTCATACAGCGACTCTGCTGTCAGGAATCTGGGGCTTATTTTCAATAGCGATTTTACATTAGACAAACAGATAAATGCAGTTGTGAAGTCCATTTTTTTCCAGCTAAGACTCACTGTTAAGGTGAAGTCATATCTCCCCTTCAGAGACTTAGAAGATGATTCACACTTTATTTAGTTTAGACTGTTGAAACTTTTAAATCTTTGCTCAAGACTCATCTTTTTTCCCTGGCGTTTAATCCAGGACCAGGTAGTCTGAGAACCAATTAGAGCAGAACAACAAAGTCAATGCTCAATAATCCAGGTATACCATCCAACATTTTTTAGTCAGGTCATCTGGACGGTTTCTTTTTTTTTTTTGTGCTGAAACATTTCGCCTTCCATCCAGAAGGCTTCATCTGTTAAGGAAACACACAACACAAATCTGATTCATCCCCCAACAGCTTACTCCAAAGTGGAACAAACCAGTTATGTTGGTGCTAAAATGGTCTCTTTGTCACACCCCCTCCCCCATTGCTGGCCCTCTTCCTTGTCGACAGTCATGTCAAACTGGTTCAAAGCAGCAAAGTCCATGCTCAATAATCCAGGTATACAATCCAACATTTTTCAGTCAGGTCATCTGGACGGTTTCTTTTTTTGTGCTAAAACGTTAATGTTTCAGCACAAAAAAAAAAGAAACTGTCCAGATGACCTGACTAAAAAATGTTCAATTAGAGCAGACTTTTCTTGTTGCTGTGTGTTGTATTTTATTGTTAACTGTCTTGTGTTTCTTTAGTGACACAAGATGTATATCCTTGTTCTTATTGTTTTCATTTTAATTTGACTAAATTGTAAAGCACTTTGGTCAACTTTTGTTGTTTTAATGTGCTATATAAATAAATTGACACACTGAAACACCAAGCAAAGTAGTTCCAAAGTCTCAGAGGTTATTTTACTAACGTGTGAGCTGCCCGACAGTGTGATGTACTAATGACAGTAGTCGTAACTGGCCAACCACAGGATTCAGGCTGGGAGAAGTTTGACACATACGACGAGTACTGTTCCACATCCTGCTGAGCTACTCTCCCCATCTCCTTTGGTTCTGTTATGTGGCTTCATTTATAAAATAGGCAAAGAATATTCACCAGGTTAATGGACGAGGGTAATTTTACAAATAAAAACTAACAAAAAATAAGTGCAGTATATCTTCTTTAAACGAGACTGTAGTTTCTTAATATTCTTTGCTGATTTTATGCCTGAACACATAAAATTGCAACACATCCCAAAACAACCTGTTTTTGTCTAGTTTCAATATAAAATAAAGTGCAGCTATGTTTAACATATATTTTTTAACTAACTTACTGTTAGGCCTTCCTTAAATACACACCTAATTATAGTTTGAAAATCATTACAACTACCATTACATGACTATTCTTTATTTATAAATGATAATGTCACACAGTAATGTTTTTCTGCTCCCTTCTGCAGGAGTTGCCACAGCGAGCGAACTCGAATTAAAGATGTGGGCAATTGTTTTACGTCTGATGCTCTTCCTGACAACCTGGGCTCCAAATCACAAACAGCCCTTAGGTGTCCCGCAAAAAGGTTGACCCAAAGAGATCACCTGGTAAAGTGATAGCTGGTACCCAAATGGTAAATATAAACTCATTTGTTACTGTGCAGTTAAAAGAGCTGTGGACAAACCTCCACAGAAAGTCCTTATTTTATATTAGTAGCTTTGTACACCTCATCCACTGCCCCTGACTTCAATGTTTAAACACCTGGCAGATGTTACAGCTAACTTTGTGTCTCGTCTTAGTAAAGATGTCTACATGAAAGATTGCTAGTGTGAGTTAGCAATTATTTATGATATGTTTACAAACAAAACAAACAAATGAATAAACAACAACAACTGATTTTTAAGTGCCAGGTCAGTTTGTCATCGTTCACGCCAAATATTGTCTTGTTCTGATAACCAACCGACTGATCGGTGCATCTCTAGGTGTTAAATGAGTGCTGCTGCAGCGGTTGCTGGGAAAACAATGTTTATGAGAAATCACAAATCTAACGGATGGGTGTAAACAACACTCAAACAAAGTCCTGTACTGCTGCGTCTAACGAGACACTCACCTTCCGCCATCTCCCCACTCGCTCTGCTGCCCTTAGAACTCCCACTTCCTCCTCCTCCTATTCCCTCTGTACCTTTTCCCTTCTCTCCTCCTCTGACACTGTCGTCAGCCCAGCCCTCTTCCAGATCCCCTCCAACACTGCTGCCACCTTCCCCCGCTCTTTCGTCGTCCTCCTCTCCCAGGTTTTTATAGTTTGGCCTTTTCTGCGTTCTCTTGCGGCCTCGATGTCGGGATAACTCCAGGGATTGCTCCAGAGACTCCAGAGGTTTGATGAACCGACGGACTGCTCCTGCACTGACCTGCTGGAGAGAGAGGAAGAATTTAATGCTAATTTGTTTTTCACCTTTATGGTAGTGACTTAAAAAACTCCAAAATCACAATATGTGATGAATACGCAAACCAGACATTAGTTTGAAGCCAAGTGAGACAAAAAGAACGGTCAGATTATATTCTGTAAGGGTTTCTTTTCCTAGAAGTGACTAATTTTTCTGTTTCGAGACAATAATTTAACCAAACCTTATATGAACAAATGTAAAAAACATATCAGGACAAAAAAAATTACAACTAAGCCCTCTACATACTAAACAGTTATAAATGCTTCTCTCACTATCTATACTGATCAAAGTCTGTTAAAACATAAACCACTTCCTGTCTTCCACAGCTGATGAAATATTACATGAATTATCTTTGGTAGGTTGACCATTTCTGTAAATCCAGCTACTAACACCCCCCCCACCCCCCCACCCCACACACACACACACACACACACAGCCCTCTCCAGGAAGCAGCTGGTAAATGATTAGATGCTGAGCAGTGGTGACAACACTGCGACTTACAGTAAGACTGAGTAGTTGTGACGGTAACTATTCTGCAAATTCTAATAAACTAATGACCATTCAGATTAAAATGATAAAATTACTAAGAAAGGAACAAAACCAAAAAAAAAAGATGATCTATAACAAGGTTGGTGTGACAGAACATCTGTCTAAAGATGCAGAAGTTAAGGTTAGAACATGTAAACACATGATGACACTGAGTTACTTTAATTTTAACTCTACCAGGTGTGACCATAATCTGAACTATAAACCTGCAAAACTGTAAAACAGTCGAGTTCACTTCACCTCAAACAAGATGGAGATTTACAAGAAGCAGATTACAGAACTTCCTGTTGATTATGTACTGGTTTCCCTCCAGTTGTTTTCACAGCAAACATTAGAGCTTACTGGACTGAGGAAGGAATTCAGTTTAATTGAGGTTGATTAAATTTTTGACTTTAATGAGCTAAAACAAGCAGAGTGTGAACCACAAATATCTAGGATGAAGTGAGTACATACAGGCTACTGTAATCTGAAAGGCCACCTGCATACATTATCTCAGTGGTTCCCAACCCAGGGCCTTGAGGAACACCGTCCTGCATGTTTTAGTTGTCGTCTCGCTCCAACACAGCTGATTCAGTGAATTTATTACTTCTTCATGATCTGCAGAAGCCTGTTAATCACATGTTCATTTAAATCAGATGTGTCAAAGCTTGTAGAACTAAACAACTAAAACACACAGGATGGTGTTCCTCAAGGACCACAATTGGGAACCATTGCATTTTCTGTTAAACCCAACATCAGCTAAAACTAAAGATGTCAGACTTATGCAAATGTTACTTCACACTTGACTTTATTACTTACTCAAATCTGTTTTAAAAGATGTGAATAAATAATAGCTCAGGTTATATTTTTGTCCACAAATTGGAGCAGCATAATTAACGAACCAGCCTCGTTTGATGGCTACAAGTTCTCAGAAACTTTGTTATTTTGGATCAAATTTAAACTTTCACTAGCTGTTTGGATAAAATTAGGCATTTAAATTGAGTTAAAACTGGCATCTTTATGAAGAAAACAGACTTCTCGTAAAAAGAACATATTAATAAACAATAATGGTATTATTAGTTGTGCAAAACTAAAGTTTGTTCCTACTTTTAAATATAAAAGCCATACAGGTTCAGTATTATTTGGACCCAAGTGGTTGTGTTTCTTGAAAATTGTTCCACTTTCTTACAACAGACTGAGACGAACACTGAAACTAAGTGGCCTGATTCCATTCAGATTCTTGCGCTAACACAAACTACGAAACAAAAACGCACATGACCAGAGGGGAACAGACTGTATGAACACAAATCAAACTCATGCGCAGGTTCTGAAACTGAAGTTCTACCAACATCTCTGTCCAGAACCTCAGTGACGGGTTTCTCAGCAACCCCTCCCCACATCAATTGAAAGCAAAAGTGAGGTTATTTAAGAGTGCTTTTGAAAATAACCGTGTTTTCTTGCTTGCTTTCATCTCCACCCCCCATGTCTTGTGTTCTTCTTTCACTTCTGTGTTCTCGTAAAAGATAAAGTGGTCTCATAGAAATTATAATAAAAGCAACTTAATTTTAATTCCCCCCGATGATTTCACGGAGCAATTATTTGCCTGTGCATAACAAGACAATCAAATGGTATTTAGATCATGTAAGGCCTATTTTATGGCTTTTACCCTGAAAATAATTAAAGCTGAAAACATTAGCTCCTAAAAAACAGCTCATGTGTTTTTATGTGTTAGGTGGATGTGCCTGAGCTGGATCGAACCGTTGCTGCTGCTAAAAACACAGCGCTCAGACACAAACCACAAACTAGTATGTCTGAGTGCGACGCACCTGCTAGCTGACAATGTTCTGGTAAACCGCTCAGTCTCAGCCGCTGCTGAGAAATTAATGGAGGTCAGGGAGCACACTCTAGCAGGGGCATCAAACTCACTTACAAAAGGAGGCTGAAATTAAAACGTTTTTCAAACTCAGGGCCAATTTCAGAAACTACATTAACTCAAGTTAGATACCAAACATCTTTTCTTGGTTGCAGGTTCCTCAACAAGAGTTTGATTGGCCTCATTTGACGTTCCCTGCTTCAGTTTCGACATCATATTCAAAGATTACTGAAAAAATTCAAGTGATAAACGTATTTTACATTTAAAATATCATCTTGGGGGCCAGATCAGATGTCAACGAGGGCCACATTTGGCCCCCGAGCCTTGAGTTTGACACGTGCAAACACTAAGCAGCACGTTCCATTAGGCCACCCACAGTAAGTAAAGAAAAATTACCTTTACAGTTAAATGCACTCTAAAACAGCTGCTTGTTTTTTGGGATATGCAAATACCGCCATTATGTTCTTAACTGGTGCATTTGCAAGAAAACACAGCTACAAAAAGCAAAAAGCAAAAAAAAAAACATCTTCCAGGAAAGAGATCTGGGTTAGGTGAGCCAGCCCTGTCAGTGTTCCACCAGGTGACCTAATTTCCTGCCACATCATAAACAAACAAAGTGCCATTTTACCACCTGCGAAAAAACACAGCTTGTTCTTGATCTGCCTCATTTTCATCTACAAGAAATCAAACAACCTGTTCATCTGATGTGGCCGAGATGATGAGCATTCAAACCTGAAATGCTAACTAAATTAACAAAATTACAAACACTTTCTAGAGAACTTATTACAAAATGTCAAAGGGTAATCCTCAAAAATTATATATTTCCCATAGCAGAGGTGTTGCTGGATGAATGGAATTATATAAAAACTATTTAACGTTGCTCTGTTTATGTAATTAAAAAATAAATAAAAAAACAGACCACTTGATATTCTGTGCGAGATATCTCAGAAACTAACAAAAAGTACACTTGACTGAGTCCACATGCTAAATTATCCCTAATATTATCTTTAAAAAATATTTTAAAACCATTTCAGTAGAATTAGCAGTTTTGAAACCTCAAATCTTTCATCTTCCACAAATCGTAGAAACATGTTTGGAGGTATGGCCGACTGCTGCTGTGGTATACCAGAGACACTAAAACATCACGCCTCAAGTCACATTCACTGAAATGGTGGGAAGCTTCTTACAACACACACGCACACACACACACAGCACGAAGAAGAACCACAAACGTTCTCAGAAACGCTCACTACCTCAGCACACCCACCTGCAAACAGATGGTCAGAAATTTAGTAAAGGGAGCGGCAGAGACGGAAACTGAATCACGAAGAGACAAAAAGGGAGGGAGAATTTAAAATAACAGGAAGGGGAAGGAGACGGGGAAAGACGGGGGACAGATGGGGAGAGTGTAGAGAAGATACAAAGATGAAAGGTGACGTTACGTAAGAAACAAATAAAAAATAAAATTCATCTAAAGACTTTTTTTAAGCAAAAGGAGCAGTTCTGTACACAAAGAAACATGTTTAAATATGAAGAGAAATGTTAAATAATTAGCTTTTTTTTCCCTTGATGTGGGTGAAAGATGGAGAAAACCAACAGCCCAACCATCTCATAACCACCTACACACACTTCTGGAACTGTGTGTGTTTATAAATGTCCATGTGGTTGCACCCGTGGGTAGACACTTTCTTGATCGAGAAACGCACTCCAAGTGTGTTTGCTTCACTTTTAGTGTCACCTTATGTCACAGCAACACCACTGAGGAAATGTGCGAGTCAAATGTTTATGGCTGTGTAAAACACTACCATGTGCCTCATTTGCATACTACTGGCCTGTCACGATAACAGATTTTGCTGTGCGACTGTCTCAGAAATTATTGCGATAAACGATAATATTGTTTGAAATTTGACAATAATTAGTAATTATTGTCAAATTTCAAAAGAAATGTTTAATTTGTTTTGTGTGTAGTACCTTTTTTCAACCACCGGATGGCAGTATAAGACTGTTTTAACCAAAGGATGGATAGTGAGGGAGCGAGCAGTGCGTCTCTAAGAAAAATGGAAGAGAGGCCCCTTGATGTGACATGGGCTGTCTCTCTTGGGTTCTCAAAATGACAGACGCTCGGTGTGGTTTGAGCTCTTTAGCATTTTTCACACAAAGCTTTTAATAAAAAAAAATCAGTAAACAAGTTCTCAGCTTCTTTTTACAGAGAAAAACTTTTTACACGAAGGCACACATTTTGGCGCTTTGACAAGACGGAGGTTTTTTCCCCGAGGTCGGCCTGTTAGCTTCGCTCGTAGCTTAGCTTCTCAGCTTAGCTGCTTTTAACGATCCAAAAACGCAATTTTGGACGGTTAAAATGGATTTTAAAGAGAAAAGAGAAAGGGACGGGTCAGTGAAGAGCACCGGAGTTGAGCCTGTTGTCATCCAGTGTCTTCAGTAGAAAGAGAGAGACACGAAGAAACGATAAAGCTGATAAATGAAAATGAGCTTGATCAAGCGATTAATTGATTAATTGATTTATTGTTTATTGCGACAGGCCTACATACTATAGTGTTTTTAAAGACGGTATCTAAATATAAAGTGGGGACTTTTCAGGGTGCATGTAGTGCGTGCGTTGTGCATGTATATATACCGTGTTTTTGTGTGAGCTTTGCATGTCTGACTGGGAGCTGAAGACTGAAAGGTCTCCGTTGAGAATAACATCTGCGAGGGCGTGGACCAGAGGCTGATAGTGGATGATTAGAAACACCTGGAAAAAGCAAACACAAAATTCAGGACATTGTTCCTCTCGAACAGTCCACAGACAGAAAATAAGACCCAGAACAGATGTTGTTCACAGACCTAAATGCTAATGCACTTTAAAACTACAGTTGAGTAATATGTGAGCTAATGTAAACAACATCCTCTCAGTTCTAAATTATTTTGAACCACATATTAGCCAAAAAAAACTTTGCCAAGTTAAAAATGTTTATGTTAAGTTCATATGTACTGTAGATTATGTTGTCTGGTTAAAAGCAAGTAGACGAAATACATTTCTGAAAAGCGACAAACTCCATAAAACAGATGGTGCTAAAAACAATCTGTTCTCACATGCACCAAACTGTACACCTGACTCCTTCAGTCACACCTTCAGGCATGTTATGGAAGGAATTTTTAAGTGAATTGCCCAAATAAATAATGGAATAAAAATAAATAAATAATGAAAACAGAGCCTGCAAGTTTAGTAGTAACATTATATTTTGTAGAGTTGATCAATACTAAAAGTGAAATACACATCAATAAACCGTCACACACAAGAGATAATAACCTAAATTACAAGAAGGAAAAAACCATACTAATAAAATGCAACACAAATATAGCAGTACTCTCATGACTGCTGATGGTAGCATCTAATGTGTGTGTTGCTTACTTGAGACAGCAGATAGAGGGAAACCTGAGGGCTGATCCTCCGCTCATCAGACTAAGAAACAACAAACAAAAATATATAAATAAGATTAAAAAAATTAAGAGGAAAAACTATGTGAAAACGATTTTAGTGGGTTCAGTAGGAATATCTAACGACTAAATGAAAAAAAATTCTCAGATCAGGCGAGGTTCTTGACCAGAAAGAGGTTGAATGCTTCCTCCTGTTTTGGGGTGAGTTTCTCAGGGAGTAGTATTGTTCAGAAGTGGAAAACCCAGAACCAGCTGAAATGATTATAGACATGCTCTCTGGCCTGGGAAGTCCTCAAGATCAACTCACTCCTTGACCTGTTACCCCCCAGGTTCTAACCACAAATAGGTGGTGAAAAACAAATGGAGAGATGAATGGATGCTTCTTTAAAAATATTTATTGTTCATGGTCACAATGTCACTAGATGTGTGAGTGACTCGAAAAGGAAGAAGTGGGTAAAAGATAATGGATGGATGGATGGGTAAAGATGATGTATTGTTACACCTCTACCATCCATCCATCGATTTAAATCAACATATCGATTCAATGATTAATGATTCAAATATATTGTGGCAAAACTAAAACATTGATTCATATGGTCATCTTTAAAATATGCTTTTATTTTGAAATTCCCAAGGCACATCTGCGTCACCATTTTCTGCGGCCGCCTCAGCAACATGGCAGACGAGGCAGAAAACACATGTAATGAAATTCACTCTCCTGCTGGATTTAAATCAACACTGTGGAAATATTTTTGATTTCAACAGAAGGACGGCTCAACAGACAAAACTCATGCCGTATGCAACAGGTGCCAGTGTGAGTTAAAATACTCGGGAAACAACAAATTTGTCTGTTCACCTGAAGAAGAAACACGGCATTGATAGATATTGAGCTTACATAACATGGCTATTTTTGTTTCTTTATAATTGAAAGGTAATCAGGGCACTTGTAAGATAACTGGGTTAAAAAAAATGCACTTAAACATGAGAAATGTGAGACTATACTGAACAGGTCATTTATTTTTATTTTTTCATTACTTAAGAAAAAATGTTTTTTTATTTAAATGCCTGGTGCCTGTAATAACATAAATAAAATGGTTAAATCATATTTGAATTGTTTTTTGTAAATTTATTTATATGTAAATGAGATGGGCATTTGATATCACAATATATCGATCGCAGAATTGTGAATGGAAAATAAATGAAATCATATCGTGACAGACTGGGCGGCTGAGTGGTTAGAGCAGTTGTCCTCCAATGTAAGAGTTGGGGGTTCGAATCCAACAGCAGTCACATGCCAAAGTGTCCCTGGGTAAGACACTGAACCCCTCATAGCCTCTGATGTGTGTCCCATCAGTGTATGAATGTGATGAAGCTCTGATTAGTCTCTTTAGAATAATTTGTTCAATTAGCTTTGTATAGATCTAGTAGAGAGCTGTATGAATGAGTAAATGAGGACACAGATTGTAGTGTAAAGTGCTTTGAGTATCTTGAAATAAGATAGAAAGGCACTATGTAAGTACAGACCATTTACCATTTACTTTGTGATAGAGAAAAATCGTATCGTCAAACAAACAAATTAATATAATATTGTATCGTGGTAAAGCTGGTGATTTACACCCCTGATGGCTGGGTAAAGATGGATGGATGGATGGATGGATGGATGGATGGATGGATGGATGGATGGGTAAAGATGGATAATGAATGGGTAAAGATGGATGGATGGATGGATGGATGGATAGATGGATGGGTAAAGATGGATGGATGGATGGATGGATAAAGACAGATGGATGGATGGCTGGGTAAAGATGGCTGGATGGATGGATGGATGGATGGATGGGTAAAGATGGATGGATGGATGGATGGATGGATGAAGACAGATGGATGGATGGCTGGGTAAAGATGGCTGGATGGATGGATGAATGGGTAATGATTGATTAATGGATGGGTAAAAATGGATAGATGGATGGATGGATGAATGTGTAAAGAATGATGGATGTTTAAATGTATGGATTGTTCACAGTCACTTTGGTTTTGCAGCTTCTGTTCAGTAACTCTGGCAGAACGTTTTACTGAAGCTGAATAACAAGCTCAGCGGTCAGACCTGAACTTCTGCACATGAACACAACAGGAACACGTCGTTCTAGATTTGAGATCCTGTAAAGATCTAAAATTAAGCAACTCGGATGAAAATCAATGTTTCATTCTGAGACTTCTGTCATGATGAGGAAGTTTCAAATCCCTGAGCTGTGTAACGTACTGTAATTACCCAAGACCGGACAAAAACAGTTAAAATTCAACAAGTCAGTTTGGTGTCATTTAAAAAAACACTCTGTTGCATAACTAGCTCCTTTGGTAAAATGTGTAATGTGAGGGAACAGAAGATACACACGACAAATCAATACACTGATAAATAGTTTAACATGTCATTTACCTGTTAGTTTAAATAAAAAAATCAGTACGTGTGGAAATTAATGTAAAATAACAAGACAAGCCCACTTTGATTGAACCTGTTAATAATCGGTCTACACCAAGTTGTTTACGAGTGTTTCAACATACCATGTCAGGACTGACCAGAGAGTAGACGTAGAGAGGCAGGAAGAGACGATTGAGGAGGTGATCCGTTAAGACGTCGTTCAGGAATTCACAGTTGATGATGAGGATGTCATTCAGGTAGTGGAGGTGATCGAGGTGCTCTGCTACCAGGTCACTCAACTTTCCCCTGTTCTTATGCCTGAAACACAGCAGAGACAAACACTGTTACATTTATCACACATTTACATTTAGGAGTACAAAGCCTAGTATTCCTTAAAGTACTGCGAAACATTCAGAATTTCTTTTCTGAATGTCTCATTAAAATCCATCCAGTAGTTTATGAGACATTTTGCCAACAGATAGACACAAATGCTTTTCTGCAGTGAGCCATGAAGATAAATAAATCTAGTTAACACTATGCAAATTGCTTATTTCTCAGCAGGATGAAGTTTATGAACATAAGACAAGCCTGCCCCCTAGAGGCTGCAGTGAGAAGCAACCAGAGGACTTACTCTTCGTCCGTCTGCACACACTTGTCCAGTTCGATGACATGGCTGCCGATAAACCAGACCAAGTTGCTGAAATACGGGACGGCCGTTTTATCTCGAATATAGTGCAGCATGTGCTGGTTGTCTACTGTAAGAAAGACAAAGGGGTCGAGAGATGTTGCCCAAAGATATTTACAGAAAAACAGTCTCTCACGCACGTGCACTCATCTGTACACGCACTATGCAAACCCAGAAAAATCCCAAATGTGACAACAACAACAAAAAGATTTTAAATGAAGTCAACAAAATAAGTCGCTTTAAAAAACAATAACCTGTCCAATCATGAATTAAAAAATAATCAATATAACTATATTTTTTTTTCCCCAAACAGATTTTCAGATGATTGTTTTTTTAATGCTATAAAATAATAGATAAAAACAAACATTTGAGAGAAGGCGGGGAGCTTGTCAGACCTCTGCAGTCCATTCTTGGTGTCTGAGAAACTCTTGAAGCCGTCACTAAACAGTGTCAGCGTTGTGTGGCGTCTACAGGCTCAGCAGGGTGCGGCAGTGAACAGACAGATCCAACTCACAGAGCGCTGCCACACGGACTAAATAATAAAAACTAAAGCAAGCTTACCACCAGAAGCTCTACTAGGTGAAGACAATAAATGCAGTGGCATGCAGGTTTTCTTTGCATGCATGTGAGTGATAACAAGAATGCACATAACCAGATATTTACGAGTGCACCGTTAATAAGAAGCAGGGCTGGGTAGCAACAAGCAAGGGCCCAAGATGTCTTTAAATTTCAGCCGATTCAACCGAATTCAGTGAGCGCCGCTTTTCGACGTGCACTCTTTGTATGATTTTAGTGTATGAACATAAAAGCAACACGTTGTTCAGATACCCAGCCCTGCGAGAAGGACTGAATGAAGACATGAAACTTACATGAAACTGCAGTTTGGCAGATGAGGCGCGTAGGAGGAGAGACAAGAAGAAGAGGAGGAGGAGGAGTGGTTGGAGAGGGGTGGGGGGGGCAGACACAGGATTAATGTGAGTAAAGGGTGGAGGACTGGAGGCTGGGACGGATCACGCAGGCATCTTGACAAAAAAAACTGCAAACGATGGCACACTTGGAAAAGGAGTTTCAGAGCTGCAGGTATTTGTCTTGAACATGTGCATGAATCGAGCCTCGGTGCTGAAACCGTTTTCCAGGCTGTCATATGTTGCAGCGCAGGAACAAGAAATCAGGAGGAAGCATCGATCAGATGCAAAGTTCAACATTATGAAGCAACCGGAGCCTTCACTGCAATGGACGCACTCAATTTCAGCATTATGGTAAAACCAAAAAATAAAAAAACTACTACGGGTAAGGTAAGTATTAAAAGCTTTTAACATTTTAAAGCAATCACTGATGCAGCGTCTAAGATGGCCACTTGTGATACTGATGCTCAGCATGGCGGTATGACAGTTCTGAGGCAGTGAAGAGGATCACAACAAATAAATCAGCCAGAAACACCGTAATGAACTTACTTTCGCTTGTTTGACAAACTTTTTGTAATATCATAGCTTACGGCCAGGAAAGCAACACAGTCCCCCAAACAAAAGTGTTGCATCGTATTTAGTTTAGCCGTTTAGAAAAGAAGTCTAAGATAAAGTTTCAGAAATGGACTGTCATGGACGATGAGCCGACAACATTTAATGAAACAGAATACATTGCAAACACTTGTTCTAGTAAAATATACAACAAAAGAAAAATATTTGAGACGGTTAAAAATCATCTGAAAATGGAGTACAGTAGTCCCTCGATACTTCGCGGTTCGACATTCGTGGACTCGCTCTTTCGCGGGTTTTCAACGTACGATTGTACACGACAAATTGTCAACTATATTACTCACGTGATTGGGACGGTACGAGATAAAAAGTTAAGGGGACTGGACGGTTTTGTAGTTTTCTTTCAATAAGTCTACACCGTAACACATGTCAGAAGAACTACACGGCCCAGAAGCCAACAGTGCTTCTGGCCGCTGCTTTTTGCTGAAATTGCAGCAGTGGATGGAGCAAACACTACATGCAGACCATGGCGGGGTTCAGTCTGGTTCTGGTCGCTGTGGTGCTGGTTTGGACCTGGGCCAAGGTGGTGGACTACATCCTAGGCAGCCTTGCACGCAGAGGGCGGTGAGCTTCATCATGCTGCAGGGTAGGTCTGCCGAACTGGAACCAAGCCTGCAGCTGCTGGTCTGCAGAGCTGGTGAGTACCCATATCAAATTTTGCAGTACTGTGCAGTACATACACATATGTTGTTAAAACTATGTAGGTTTAAGAGTTTAGAACATTGCAAGAGTGTGGGAAGGGTTTATATAAAGCCTTAAAATGTATATAAATACTCAAATAAATAGCGTTCCTACTTCACAGTTTTTCACGTATCGCCGTGGTGTCTGGAACGTGACCCTTGTGATAATTGAGGGACTACTGTAGCTCTGGAAATTTTTTTATTTTTTTTTTTATCCATAAATGAAAGCTGACTCAAGTGATGAGCTACTTTAAGTTTGTGTTAAATAAAAACTAATCGTGACTGTAACACATATCTGAACTACAAAATCCTGGCACCAAGCTGTGTTTTAAGTGCACTTTTTCTATAAACACACAGGACATCAGATGTTCTGATGAGTCTTTTCTAAATCCGGTTCGTCATGAGCACATCAGCCCTGTTTTATTCCCTCTCTGTTGGTTTCCAGTTCACTTTACAATTGATTTTAAGCTCTTAGTGTTTACTTTTAAAGCTCGGAGCGGTCTTGCCTCAGCTTATTTAGCTGATCTAGTAGCTTGCTGTGAGTATATCAACATCTGTACTGTATGTCCCAAGGTCCAAATACAAACACTGAGGTGACTGGAGCTGTTGCTGCACCCAAATGATGGAACAAGCATCCTCAGGTCTTGAGCTCTATGGGATTTTATAAATCCAACCCTGAAACCTTTTTATTCAGGCACACGGTTAATACTTAGCAGCACTCTGGCATTTTAGTATTCTTGTATATTTGTACTGATCTGCTTTAACTTGCATCACCTTTTAGTTTTGTAATGGGTTCCATAAACAAAATTGATTAATTGATAGACCTGCAGAAAATGCACCTTCTTAAGGCTGAGCAGCATTACCGTACATATTCATGTGAATACATTCACTGACAACTCATCCATTTATACTTTGTTTTAGAAAGTTTGTGCATACATTTTCTTTATGTAAAATTTAGAATAGTGCTTTTAAACAGTAAACTGCATGGTTACTATAGAATTATTTAGCATACTACCTATTCTACTTAAAAGATACTTATTTTCGTATTGTCGTCACTTTGTGACACAAAGGCAAAGTTTGACGTTCATGGATCAAGAAAGGATGTTCTATCCTGATGCATGCTCAATAATAATGATGTTCTACTTTTTACAGTAGTCTCTCGCTACTTCGCGGTTCATTTATCACGGACTTGCTCTATTGCGGATTTTCAAAATAAGATTGGACATGACACACAGATGGCTGAGCCGCACGATCGGCATGGAATTTTTATTTTAAATAAATTATTTTAAATTATTTAGCACCTGCTGCACCTCTGTGCAGCCCAGAGCTGTAGGTTAACCTTCCTGCTGCAGCTGATCAGCTGTTCTCCATGCAGAGCATAGAAGTGGGTGTGGCCAAGAGTGCTTGCAGGTGGCTGAGAGCAGAGGAGGCAGAGAGCTGAAATCATGACATGCTGTGCTCTTTTAGAGCTTTAGAGTTTAGAAACATTGTTTAGAATATTGCAGTGTGGGAAGTGTTTAAAACGCCTTTATATCGGGGCGCCCCGCCCCTTTAACAGAACCGAGTGCGTCAAATGACCAAAACGAATTGCGCACCCCCCCTCCACCTGTCGGTACTGATGTGACGCTAATTAGTTGCGCACTAGCTAGCTAAAAAGCTAGAAACAAACAACGCGCAGCTCAGCTGTCTCTCCATCCAGCTCTAAACTGCAGGTACAGACAGCTCAACTGTCTCTCCCTTCCCCCCGCTCTAAGCTGACACTCGTCTTTTTTCTCTCTCTCCGCACCCTGCTCTGAGCTGCCGGTGCAGGCTGCGTCTCCTCCGCTCTAAACTGCCGTACAAACACGTGCATGTCTGTCTCTTGAGTTCCACAGTCCATGGACCAAGAACAGAGTCAGGTGATCAGAGACAGAGCATCAGAGAAATGAATCATTCCTGCAGGAACAGAGGAAGCTGAACCACCACAAGCTTCAGGGCCAGCTGATCACCTCGTTTACAAGTTCTGGAAGTTATAGCTCATTTAAAGGCAACATGTTTTTGATGTTTGTTACATTTATGCTCAACTGATCTTAAACTTTCATTTTATTTTATTTAGTTATTTTGGGAAACTTCACCTGCACTTTAGTTTTTGTGGTAGATTTATTGATCTATATTTTGTGCAGACTTTTTCCATTTAAATAACAATTTCAATTTTTATTTTTATACTTGGAGACTGAATACTTTACTAAATAAAGTAATTTCAGTAAAATTAACCCTTGTTTTTTATTTTATTTTATATAATACTGCAAAGCAACATGTTAAGTTAATTTTGTCAAATAACTATGATTTCCGTTTTTTTTTTGTTATATCACGAAATATATTGTTATCGTCAGAATGCTCTGAAATATCACAATATTATATTTGAGCCATATCGCCCACCCCTATAATACACACACACACACACACACACATGTATATAAACTAAAATGAACTATTACTATTTGTACTACTATTCCTACTTGGCGATTTTTCACTTATCACGGGGCTTCAGGGTACGGATCCCCTGTGATAAACGAGGGACTACTGTATTATAATTCTGCGTAGTAAAGATGGATTAGTTGGATACTAAGAGTTCATTTTGTGCATCTGTTCAGCATCCGGCACATACAAGAACCAGACGTTCTGGTTGATGAACCTGTAGAAGACTAAAATGATCCAGAATTACAGGAAACATAAGATTATAAAATAAATATGACACTGATAGACAAAGATGTCAGAGTGTCTACCATGTTGAACTATGTACCAAGTCATAGTATTGTGTCTGTTTACTTTCCTTCACCTTTTGACCATTTAAACAGTTGCGTAGTCTTCGTCTAGACGTGATAAGAGCGTCTGTCACCTGGAAATCCTCTTCAGCTGTCTCAGCTTGGATTGAGTAAATAAATGTTTCTATGTGTCGATGTCAGAGAAATGGGACTTGTGCTGTAAGGACATACTCTGTGGTAGATTTGGAGGGTGATGTGCATTTGGATGTAGAGGCCATATCTCCCTCCTTGCAAGTAACTTTTAATATATTTAGTCAAAACTTCAATCCTAGACTCCTGATTGATTAACTGAGGATTTTTTTCTAACAGACATCAAAGGCTAAAATAAAAATCCAACACTTCTTTTAGTCATGCAGCAGAATAATGAGCAGAAAACAGAAGGAAGCACAAAAAGAGGCAGTTAGCAGTTCCAGCATCCCCTGAACTCGTGTTTATGAGCAAGTGTGCAGGTTTGTGTGTGCACGTGCGCTCACCTTTGTAGACGTTGAGCGTGATGGTGCGGACTGCGATGCGGACCATGCTTTCTGGGTGGTTGAAAAACTTAATGGCTTCAGTGTACAGGGCAAAGTCATTAGTGTGCTGTGTGTGGGAGACAGAGATGAGGAGCCGGTGAGCAAGGCACTGCATCGCTAAATTCACACCGCAGGTGGCAGAGAGAGAAATGAAGCAGCTAGACAGAAATGTTGGACAGTATTGTGTTTTCTTAACATCTAGTAAAAGTAAAATGGAAATACTCAAATTCCAACTTGTGCTATAAAAATGTTCTAAAAGCATCTTAAAAAAAAGCAACATTTTAAATAAATGCTATGGATATGTTTAAGTGTAAAACAATAATACGCAAAATGATATTTAGAAGCATCAAACTATAAATCTATTTATGTTTTCTAAGTAAAACAACCTCTATAATTGTAAAGTATCAACTAAATAAGCTTATATTTAATGTCTGGTCTGGATTAACTCAAACCAAGAGCTTGAAATTAATTTCTAAAAATGTAACTTAAGTTTACAGGACAGGAAAAAATTACCCAAGCCAATGGTGCCACCTGGCAATAAAAAATAACTAACACCAAATTTTACTGTAAATGATTTTCTAATACATTAAATTAAGCAAAGAGGAAAAAAAAAAGTTTATTACAGGATTCTGTAAATCGTTTAAAGAGTTGGCAACAACTGGATGCCAGTTAAATTAAAACTGAATACATTTCACATCAAGCTTTCACTATGACTGTGTGCATACAATTATGTTAAAATAATTTAAATATACTATTGTAATACGTATATACTGTAAATATTGTACAGTGTACAATCAGGTCCTCATACAGGAAAATACTCTCAAATCTACTAAATGAGTCTGTTTTTGGCTTCAGGAGCGCAGCTACCATTGTCAGTACACCAGTAACTTTCCCCAGTTCACACAAAACAAAGATGGAGCTGAAGAGTCACAACAATTACTGCTGAGGTGGTCAGGATCTTTTAGGGTCATCACCAATTACAAGATATACAAACAAAAACAACCAATATTTAAATATTAAAAGAGTATCTCCTTTGGAACGCAGCTGAAGAGTTATAAATTTAGTCTTAATTATATCTAACAACAATAACTGAAACGGTGCGTTAAAGAAAAAGACGCTCGTTGCATTATTCTTTGTTGCATCACCAACTCAAACAACTTTAACAGGATGTGCAGCGAGTCAGAAAAGGGACAATACCTACCGGTAATAAGGTTGACTAATACAAAGTGCAAGGATTATTAACTAGAGACGTTTTACATTTAAATAACAGTAAAAATGTTTACCATAACCAAACAGCTTTGTGCAACTTCAAACCGTTTATTTTACTGTAATGTTCTTAATATTGAATTTCATCCATCCTTTCTTGCTGACTGACAGGTAAGGCTCATAAATATATCTCGACACTAAATCATTGCACCGATTGCGTCCCTCTGTATTTTCTCTCATGCATCCATTCTCAGTGACCTCACCTCATTGTAGAAAAAGTGTACAGTGTGGTTGTTTAGTTTGAGTGACAGGGTCTTGAGGAAGGAAATGTAGTAAGCCATGATCTCTTCGTCGGAGAAGTCGAATTTGTGCACGATGATGGAGTTGACGTGGTTGTTTGACAACAGATAATCTATAAACAAATGAAAAGATTAAATCAACCAAAAGTAGTGATGCTTGATCAAAGCAGCTTAAGTGACACAAAATATGCCATATTTTTTCCAACCATGTCGGGTGTTGAGGGTTTAGGCTAAGTGGATAGCTTCTTTTCAGCACATTTTATTTGTGCTTCACTGTTATCAGATCAACAGTGGGGTTCACGTCTTACAGCTTTTAGATGGCCATTTGCAGAAACACTTTGTTAGTTAGTTTGTTTTAAATATTACATTTTCTTTCAAGCATGCTGCTTTTGCAAAACTGACAGTGAAAAGCTTCTCAGAGTCAAGAAAAGATTCTTAACGTCTGCAAAGAAGTGAGACTTTCAAAGAATATTTTAGGATCCACTGCTCGATCTGATAATCTCAAAACACTCAAATTCTATTGGCAATCTACAAAACCAAATTCCAAAAAAGTTGGGACCCTAAACAAATTGTGAATAAAAACTGAATGCAATGATGTGGAGATGGCAAATGTCAATATTTTATTCGTAATATAACATAGATGAAAGATCAAAAGTTTAATCTGAGTAAATGTAACATTTTAAAGGAAAAATATGTTGATTCAAAATTTCAGTGTCAACAAATCCCAAAAAAGTTGGGACAAGTAGCAATAAGTGGCTAGAAAAAGGAAATTGAGCATATAATGAACAGCTGGAAGACCAATTAACACTAATTAGGTCAATTGACAACATGATTGGGTATACAAAGAGCTTCTCAGAGTGTCAGTGTCTCTCAGAAGTCAAGATGGTAAGAGGATCACCAATTCCATCATTGTTGCACAGAAAGATAGTGCAGCAATACCAGAATGGTGTTACCCAGTGTAAAATAGCAAAGACTTTTAAGTTATCATCATCAACCGTGCATAACATCATCAAAAGATTCAGAGAATCTGGAACAATCGCTGTGCGTAAGGGTCAAGGCCGTAAAACTCTACTGGATGCTCGTGATCTCCGGGCCCTTAAACGTCACTGCACCTCAAACAGGAATGCCACTGTCAAGGAAATAACAGAATGGGCTCAGGAATACTTCCAGAAAGCATTGTCAGTGAACACAATCCACTGTGCCATCCGCCGTTGCCAGCTGAAACTCTACAGTGCAAAGAGGAAGCCATTTCTAAGCAAGCTCCACAAGCTCAGACGTTTGCACTGGGCCAGGGGTCATTTAAAATGGAGTGTGGCAAAATGGAAGACTGTTCTGTGGTCAGATGAGTCACGATTTGAAGTTCTTTATGGAACACTGGGATGCCATGTCATCCGGACCAGAGAGGACAAGGATAGCCCAAGTTGTTATCAACGCTCTGTTCAGAAGCCTGCATCACTGATGGTATGGGGTTGCATGAGCGCTTGTGGCATGGGCAGCTTGCATGTCTGGAAAGGCACCATTAATGCAGAGAACTATGTTCAGGTTCTAGAACAACATATGCTCCCATCTAGGCGTCATCTCTTTCAGGGAAGACCCTGCATTTTTCAACACGATAATGCCAGACCACATTCTGCAGCAATCACAACATCATGGCTACATAGGAGAAGGATCCGGGTACTGAAATGGCCAGTCTGCAGTCCAGATCTTTCACCTATAGAGAACATTTGGCGCATCATATAGAGGAAGGTGCGACAAAGAAGGCCCAAGATGATTGAACAGTTAGAGGCCTGTATTAGTCATGAATGGGAGAGCATTCCTATTTCTAAACTTGAGAAACTGGTCTCCTCTGTCCCCAGACGTCTGTTGAGTGTTGTAAGAAGAAGGGGGGACGCCACACAGTGGTAAAAATGGACTTGTCCCAACTTTTTTTGGGATTTGTTGACGCCATGAAATTTGGAAACAACAGATTTTTCCCTTAAAATGATACATTCTCTCAGTTTAAACTTTTGATCTGTGATTTGTGTTCTATTCTGAATAAAATATTAGATGTTGGCACCTCCACATCATTGCATTCAGTTTTTATTCACAATTTGTTTAGTGTCCCAACTTTTTTGGAATCCGGTTTGTAAATCCAGACCTTTTTATAGACACACACTATAGATGATTTCACTATCCTATTTTAAAGTAACATAAAACTCACTAAAGTAAAAATAAAACTCATTAGAAATTCCCAGCAGAATGGGACATTTAGAAACTTTGGAATCCTTTGAGTTTTATTTTTCTGTCAGCAAGCAAATGAATATAGTGTAAGCTCTTTTAAAGTGAATCTAAGATCGCAAAGGACAAGAAATCAAACCACCTGTGTTTTACAAAAACAGGCAAGAACTTTCTATTGAAGACAGTATTGATCATTATGTTTCAGCTGGCAACAAATTATTTAAGCCAGATACAGACACAGCCTGTGGTTGGGCTTCAAGTAAAAAAAGTCAAACATTCGCTAAAAACTGAATAAAGAACTGCTAAACTCATTTAAAAAAACGTAAGGAAAGATAATCAAAAAACCTAAAAAATAAAAAAATAAAACTTTGCAGTGTGTTTTTCTACAATGTGGTTTAACTCCCTTACCAGAGGATCAGATCCAAAACGACTCCAACAATCCATCACTCTTGCACCTGATATATATTTTCAGTACATTAGTACTATTACTTACATAAGGAAGTCTCGTGGCTGATGTTTTCAAACAGTATATTGAGGGTCTGGAGGAGCTGAACGCAGACGTAGCGACCGGACTTCTGACGCAGGATGTTCAGGAAGAAGACAAACATATTCTTCTCCAGGAAAAAGCTGATGACATACACATGTGCAGAGAAACAAAGATCTCAGCTTGTGACAAAAATTCATAAACATGTTTGTTCAAAGAACTGACTTTTTAAACAATCTGGAGACTAGTGGTTAAAATGAATACAATCTTCTGCTGCATTTGAGCAAGTGCACCAATGAAGAATGATCAATGTCATGGCTATAACGATAAAAGACTTAAGTAAAAACCACAGATGTTACTTTGACTTCCATACAGATGCACATCTGGAGATTTGTGGCTGCATCTGATGGACCGGCCATGCAATCATTGACTTACTCAAACACAGAGCTGTCGTTCTGGTCCCCCCAGATGAGAATCTCTGTGATGGTGCGGATGGTCTCCACTAGCAGGTTTCGGTTGTGGTCAGTCACTGTGGTGTTTTTGGTCAGAATATGGTACATGTATCTGATTTTTTTTTTAAAGATGTAAATGGAAAGAGCATGTATAAGTGAGAAAATACAGCATTTGTTACAACCTAACTTTACAGTACAAGTATAGTCAGCAAAGCAAGGAATACAAAGCTGATGCATTTTACAAGGCCTACAAGGTTGGTGTTAAAAACATTGCATTCGCCAAGTTTTGTTTGAGGCACCTGTTCTAGTGGCACAAGTTTAAGTTTACCCTTATTTATACATCAAACTGCAACGACTCAGAACACCTGGAAACATTTCTGTAGGTCTAGAGTCCAGAACATTTGTCAGCGAAGGACATTTTTATTGTTTAAGCACCGACTATATTATATTTGAAAACGTAACATGTGTAGCTAGCATCCTATCTTACCAGGAACAACGCAAATAACACAAGTGAATTCATTTTCCCCTATAACAAACTACATATCTGTTAATGCACTGTTTTAAACCGTTAATAATCGAGATAATGTCAACGTCGTGTTTAAATGGTCGCTAATAAGAAGCTAATTTATTAGCCTCGGGTACGCTGAGTACTCACTTCAAATGGTCCAAGGAGTGGATGTTTTTCGTTTTTCCCTGTCCTCCAACCCAGCTCCGTGACCGACCAAACATGGCTGCAGTTTTAAGAGGGCTTCTGTTTTCTAAAAGATTGCAAATATTATAAATCGCATTTACCCATTTCGCCTACATTACCGTACTAATAATATCTCCTTAGCTAGCAGAGGGTGATAGGCGAACAGGGCTGTGGGTTTGGGTAACACCTTCCTTCCTACGTTGCTTCTGGGAATTGTTGTTCTTTTGACATAACACTCTGAGGGAATAAGCGAGGGGAGGACTACAATTTTTTTGTTGCGAGTGACGAATAAATCAAGCGACTGAGTTTTTTACGTCAATATATTTTCAGCCAATCAGAGTAGAGGCTGCTAATCCGTGAACCAATCACGTTTCAGGGGTTCAGACGTCTCTGTGGTCGGTTTGTTTTTATGCAGCTGGCAAAAGTATTAAAGCAAAGTCATCCGTGAAGACGTCGTAAGAAGCATATATCTGTGATTATAGGTTTCTTTTTCTGAGTTCAGAACATTTTTAAGCCGAGCTTGTAAAAGAATGGTGTTGATGATCTTGGCTAACCTTGCCTGCTACTGTTTTTAGCCGTCTCCCGTTGGCATGGCGTGAAGAACCAAGAATGCGTCAAGCTAGCTAGCGCCATGTTTTAATTATGTCCCACGGTTAATATTAACCGTAGCGTAATGCCGTTTCATCTATGCTTTTTCCTGTTATTTTCTTCTGGACCTTGCAGATAAACCGTCCCAGACTTGGGTTGAGCCAAAATGGACGCCCGAGTCTCTCCAGGCCAAACATATTTTTAGCAAATTTCATCGACAACCTCTAGCTACGCACGTATCCGAACCGTGGCTATCTTTCGTATGACACAGCCAGTTCATGCCCAGCTAGATTCGGTGGAATCGCTTTTGAACGAGCTCCCATATATGTTTTATTTGGGCCTGTTTTTTGTGAACGTCCTCATCCTCTACTATGCCTTTCTGATGGAGTACATAGTCCTGAATGTGGGGATAGTGTTTCTGCCCGAGGACATGGACCAGGCTCTGGTGGACCTCGGGGTCCTGTCCGATCCGGCCTCTGTACCCTATGACACAGACACGGAGCTGGACGTGTTTGAGGGTTACCTGGAATGACAGCACGGAGCAAACTGAGCCATCTGCAGACTCCCTCTCAATGAGACAAAGAAAAAGTATGTTTCTTTTGTAATATTCTAGGAATTTAAAGCTCAAGTTGGACCCATAATGACTACATTTGTGTCTCTTACTGCCTTCAGGTTGTCTCCTCTGAAAAGAAAGGTAACCGGAGGAGGAAATTCAACCCGGCTGACCACATGATCAGCAGCAGGAAGACTTTTCGCTACACCTTTGGCGCAGCAGATCCTAGCTTTGGCTGCAGCAAAAGGAGAGTGAGCAAGCAAGTGGGGAAGAACAGTCAATCTTTTTATCTGAGAAGTGCAAAATGTGTCTTATGACAGGACACACACAGGATGGCGGTTACAGCAAGCAAACTAATGAGAACTTGTCACTTCCATTACAGTCTCATGAAACATTTTTGAAAGAACTGGCAAATCACCAAGAAGACTACATTTCCCTGTAGGCATGTTGCATACATCATTGCGCTGAGAACAACTTTTGTACTTTTGTTTAGAACAAACTCCACAGCTGCTGTACGAGCACACTCATCTTAAGGCTGAAATGAAAATGTATCTTTTGAGGTTTTCCACATTGAATTTCAGCATCAGAGATGTGCCACTCTCTCAGGAGCATAAATTAACTAATTCTGGTGGCACTGGCTGAAGGTATATTATGGAGCTGCATGATGAAAGTAATATTTTTTTACCTCAATCTTTGCTGTTCAAACAAGTTTTTTTTTTTTTTTTTAGGTTTTTTTTTTATACTGTCTGTATTAAAATTACAAGCTGTTTAAAAGTAAAACTTGTTTTCCATAAGTTAAATAAAATGCCAAATTTATTTATGGAAGACCTCAAAAGACGTGCATGAGATTTCTTCATCTTGTGTTGAGTCACGTTCAGTGACTGCAAGAGATTTGGTGCATGAGATTGTTTATTTTAAGACGTTGACAAAATGGTTTTCTTATTTTAGTGTTACAAATTTTAGAAATCATTTACAAAAAATGTGTTCACAACAGCAATAATGATAAATGAGTAAAAGAAAGGGACAATTGGCTATTAATGAGAGGGTTCTCCATCTTTGATTGTAAAAACAGACTATTGTTTGAGTCAGGACTGCACATTCATCATATTTAGACGTTTTATAAGCTTTGAATGTACTGTACATGCAGCAGATAACAGCTAAGACGGAACATTTTGAAAGAACCAGTATTTTTCTGTTGACACAAACAAGATGCAAAATCCACATTGGGATGGTTTTAAATCCAAACCCTGAGTATTTACATACATATGTTTCAGACTGACACTAGGTGGTCCAGAATTTCATTATCTAAAACAAGCCTGTTTTTATCAAACAGCACTTCAGCAGCTTTATGTCATGTTCAGGTTTTATTTTTGCTGCCTGTTTTGCTGAAATGACTACTTTTAATCAGCCAGTTCTCCACAGCTACACTGTGTTATAACATTTAAATATCTTACTGTAAAGAATATCGATGTATAGAATTACAGTACACAATACTCTACAGTTAAATCATTAATGAAGCACTCGTTTCTTTTGAAGTCCAGCTGCCTTAAAGCAATAATTTGTAGAAATGTTTAAATTTCACATAATCTGATCACACACTTTAAGCTCAGGATACCAATAATTTGTAATTATTATACATAAAACTTGTACAGAATTTGATCAAAAAGTAAATAATATAATTATTAGATGGTAATTAGTTTGATATATTTTTAGTTATTCTGCAAAAAATACAAATGTGTTATCAATTACAAATGAAGCTGTTACCTAGAGAGCAGACATTGTTCAAAAGTCCTTAATGTAATTCTTTTCTGAGGGGATGAGCTAAAATGTAGAGAATCATATTTAATTTGTTTTAAAATAGTTAAAATGTAACGGGTGAATTACAGTAACTCATCTGGTAGAGTCCATGAGCAGTTTGTAGATTACCTTCTTAAAAGTTCATGCTTCAGTTTCTCTTCTCATTGCTCAAAAAGCTCTCCAAATATCTTCATGTCTGCTCCATTAAAGTTTTGCAGTTAAGATGGTTTCTGTTTTTATTGATTAGAATAAACGGCAGCCATTTTTACAGCCTTCAGGTTACAGACTATCTAAAGCTTGTGTCACTTTTTCCACATCTTACACGCATCCATTATCTACAGATTGAGAAAGTTCATCTCTCCCATGTGCATTTAATAAACTTTGACTGAATACCAACTTACAGCTTCATAAATTAAATGCCTCGACTACAAATGTTCCTGTCTTCACTGTTATAGTCACGCCGCCTTTCAGCCACCAGAGGAAGCAAATGAATCGTGGAGCAAAGTGAAGAGAAGTGATTTGTTCAGTTGTTTCAAATGAATACTCAGCTCTCCATGTTTACACACACAATGTAGGTAGAATTAGTTATTAAACCAAAAGTTCAGATCTTTTGAAAGGGGGGTTCTGTGGAGATGTTAAGCAAAAAACATCTTACCTGTTGTAGATCGCTTTATGAACATGAAAAATTATGTGTTCCATCTTCTTCAGAAGCAAAATGATGTTAGACACAACTGTGTTTCAGCTGCAAGTCTGAAAATAAGGTTTGCTAACTGTTGCACTCTAACCAGGCTAACTACAGGTTAGCAGTACAAGTAAAAATAATCTCATTTTGTGCATTCAAACACTAGCAACATGCTCACTAGAGGTGGCAGTACAGTACTGTGTCACTGAGATGCAAACCAACAGACAGAATTAGTTTACTGAAGGTGTCAACTTTTCATGTGCAGGGCAGCCATATTGGATTTTAAGATTGAGGTTTAGGACATGGGGTGTGGTGAGTTCCAGATGATTTTTATAACTGAAAAGTTTCGAGTACAAATAAGTTCTGACCAGACTAGTGTAAGTGAGGCCAAGACCAGAGAGGACTGTTGGTGTACCTCCACTCCTCTAGTTTACAGTGGTTCATGTGAATGCTATTATATAAATCTTTACACTGTCATCGGTTTCTCATCACATAGTTATTTCTATACACATTTCTTTTGTGAGTTCTAATAAAAGGCAGAAACTAGCTGTAGCACTTCCTGTGCACTCTGGAGCACTTCCAGCAGAAATCTTATAATATATGTTATCAATGAAAGTAACAAAGATGTAGAGGGTTAATAAAATTGTGTTCTTCTGAATAATTAGGACTTTTTGAGATTAGTTTCAAGTCTTATTTAAAATGTTTTTTTCAAACTGATGTCATTCTAGAACTATCTACAACAGGTAAGATATTAATTGTTCATTATGTTTACTGCACAGGAACCCCATTCAATATATCTGACCTTTACGCAATAGAGGAAACTTACAAAAATAGTTTAAAAACGAGCAACTGGATTTATGTTCAGCTGAATGAAAATTAAAACTTCATTGGGACAAGTAAAAGGTTTTATTTTAGTTTTTTTTTATTTAAGATATTTGCTCTGCAGCACGCTTTGGAAATGAATAAATAAAAAAGGGACCTCAATAACATTACAACATCTGTTTACAGCGGCGTGCACAGCTAACTAAAAAGTTAGCTTCATTAACCAGCATTCTGCTAACTAAAATTTGGCTTTGCTAACCCTAAACCACTAAACAAGTAAAATAATTCGCTTCGCTATTTCTAAACCGCTAATTCGACTGTGAGTCTGCGTTGCTTCTTCGTCTCTTTCTACTTGAAGTTGCATCGACCAATCACGTTACTTGTCCACGTAGTCAGCCAATAGCGTGCCTAACGAACTCTTCAGGACACGCCCACAACAGACAGGAACAAGCTAGTGAATTTAATTAGTGGACTTAAAGTTGCGAAACTTAATTTAGCTGAAGCTAATTCTTATGGTTTCCAAAGTTTGTGAAAATGCTAATCTGCTAAACGAAAAATTTCTTCCTCTATCAGCGGATTAGAGGAACAGTGCCCACCACTGTCTGTATATTATTATTAATGCTTTGGGCTTGATGCTTCAGCAACAGACATGATGAGTGACAAACCCCAAAATACTTTGAATAGTTAGTCTGTATACAAACAAGGAACAGGAACTCACTGGGGAGGAAGTGAAAAGAGAGTTTTTTTATTAAACCAATGATGTAGTGGAAACAAAAACAAAAAAAACATCTGTTTATATAAAAAGCTGCAGATAATAAGAAATACAGAAAGTTCTTGTAAAAAAAATAAAACCAGCACAGGTTTTTATACAATATCCACAAGGACTGACCTTTAAAAATTAATAGTGCAAATTGTTCTGCTTGTATAAAACATTACACACACTCGTACAGCAGGCCTGTGAGGTGTGGATCCGTTGAAAGCACCTGATGAGGAAAGCAGCAATTCATTTTCGTAGTGCAATTTCTCAAATATTGTCTTTTGGTTCGTGTCTTTTTAATTTTTTTTTTACAAAGTTTAGAACACCCAAAATGTAGTGTTCACATGAATGCATCAGATGCACAATGAAAAGTTCATTACAATACAAAGTAGAAAAAATGTTTTAATGCCAAAGGATGCGGCTGTCCTGCTGCTGAAGTCTCTCAAACACTCCATATGGAATACACTGGTTCCACATCCTGCAGCCAAATGAGACAAAAAGCCATGAAAATACAAACATGACATAAAAGAATAAAACTATCCTGGAAGGAACGCATATTGTTGCTGACTTGGACGTCAGAGTTCATACAGAAATCTTGCTTGATCTATTAGTTCTCGATGTGTTGAGGATTATTTCCAGCTACTACTACTGTACACCACAATTTAACATAATATAAAAAAGACAGAGTTATTGCAATTTAACTGTGGCGGCCACCCTGAATCAAGTTGACTCTAAAAGAAAATCAGTTGTAGATGCACAGCGTGTCATGATCTCCGCTCTCTGCCACGCCCACTCCTCCATCACAATCGCACTCATGCTCATCACCTGTGTCACTCCCAGTCTCCCTCCTGCTCCACCTGTGCACTGCACTTCCTAAGTGCTCCCCAGTCTCTGCCTCCCTGCCAGATTATCTGATCGCCTCATGCCTGAAGTGTCCAGTATTTTTGTTCCTGACCCACTTCATGACCACAGATTCCTCGCCCTTTGCCCAAGATGGATACTTCTGCCTATCGGATATCTGGACCACGTCTGCTCTGCCTCCAGACCACCGACTCCAGCTAAACCCCTCGGATAATCACGCCCCACGAACTCAGAGCTCGGACTCTAGGAGTTGAGATCTCAGAACCAAGCTCCACATTCTGAAGTGTTTGTCGGACCTTCCAGGTTATGCTCACATATCACGTGATCCATCCAAACCTCCTTTCCCTCTGACGCAGTCCTTATCAAATAGTGGGGCGCCTGGGGCAGTGCCAGGGGGTGCGCATATGACCCCGGGGAACATTTTGCAGCAGGGAGTAGTTTTTTTTTCCTCACCATTCTCATTTTGTCAGGGTGAGTTCAGCAACTGTTTGCTCAGATCCGGCAACTTTCAGTTTTACTAATAATAAAGTTATGAACAAATATGGCTGCCTTGTCGTTTGGGGAGCTGTGCTTGAACCGCGTCGCTCCCCTCTGCTGCTGAGACGATAAATAAATAACTCGGACACCTCCGCTGCTGTTTTTATGACTCTCTGCCACTCACAGCATGTATGCGACAAAGAGTAAAGTCAAAGTGAGAGCGACACCTGCCCCCTCTTTCCTATTTCACATTGGCAAATTTTTTTTAGTTTTATCAATGAGTTCGTCAAAGCACAATTTTGATGTTTTTTTTAATTGTTGTAAAAACAAAAAAGTAATGTTTAACAAATGTTAGGACTCTATTCTTTGCTAACAAAATATATTTGATGTCATTAAACAACTTGTCAGGTCCTTCTCTTGCGCTCTGTGCGACTTCTCTGCTGTCGCTGCTCTGAAGACCAAGTCCAGGTCCAGCTAAACATTGAGCAGGAGCTGCAGACAGTATGATGCTTCAAACCCCGCTTCCAAAAGCTGTGCACTGCAAAACGTGCTCATTGTACCCATTAATCCTGACTTCCTCATTTTGATTAAAAAGAAAAAAAAAATCTGCACAAATTGTTTTATTCATTTTTGTTTTATAGGTCAAAGTGTATAACACTCCTAGTTAAAATGTTGCGGATCAATTTGAATTTATTATTATTTATTGATTATATTTATTTATTTTTATTTTTCAGTATCAAACAGTCAAAATGTTTACGGTTTAAATAAGTATAGATTTTTTTTAAATTTCAGGCAAATTGATGCACTTTAAGTCTTTTCTGTCACAGACTATAAAACAATGTTAATAAAGTTCTTCTTTGTTGTAAGTTGATCTTTACTTCTTTCTTTTTCTTTTTTCTTTAATGTTAATAAGGGCATGATGTTATGCAGAGGTGTACTTGTAACAATTTTATAGACAATTTATACTATTTACAGCCGTGGTAGAGAGTTGGGGGGGTGCGAAATGTTTACGTCTTCCTAGGGGGGGACATAAAAGAAAATAATTGAGAAGCACTGCTCTGACGCCATCGCAGCTTCTGCTTCTCCACCTGTGATCGAGCTCTACAGAGTGACAGCTGACTTTCTCCACCTGATAACACTTTAAATAAATATTTTTGTGGTTGAATTTCTGGGTTCCCCTCGTAATTCATTAAACAACGAAAGCGCGCAGACAGACTGATGCTACGGTTACTGAGCCAATCCCGGGGGCGGACTGGCCACCTGGAGCACCGGGACATTTCCTGGTGGCCTGGCCCGCTCAGTGATCGCCGAGGGGGACTAAAGGCTCGATTCGGGTCGTGCTTGTTTTAAATAAAGGCCGAGGCTGTCTTGGAAAGAGAAGGGGGTGGGGGGTCTGTCTTTCCACATCGCCAATCGTGTACAGTCTTACGTTGAAAACCCGCAAAACAGTGAGTCCGCGAAAGCCGAACCGCTCAGTATCGAGGGACTACTGTAAATCCAATATTTATTTTCTGAGGGTTTTATTTAAATCCATCCAGTGGTTTATGTGATATTTTGCTTACAGACAAACAAACACACACATATACAGACACAAGCATTTATATGGTCACTTCCTTTCATGTTGGTGGATTATAAAAATCGAACAATCATCATGTAACACGTCAAGACAGCTCACCTTAATGTCTTAATCTTTTTACAGCTTCTCAAACTGGCTCCCAAGCTCTGAGCGCCGACATCTGTCATCTTGTTATATTTAATGCTGTTGAGAATTAAGAAACATGAAAAGTGTGAATTTTTAGTGAGCATCTAATGTAACAGGAAGTCTGCCTCGAAAAACCCTCGATAAAATTGTAGATTTGTGGTTCCTTTTATTAAAGCAGGCAAAAAAACTCTTTGCAGTTTAACAAAACCTCAATAAACAACCCCATTTCTGAGAGTTGTGACATGGAAAATGTGAATAAATGATTTGCAAATCTCATAAACTCGTATTTTTATTATTCAGTATAGTAAACATACCAAATGTTAAAACTACAAAATTTAACATTTTTGTGACTAAAACAAGAGCTAATGAGATTTGTATTACACCATTGCATTCTGATGTAAATTTTCACAGGGACCCAATTTTTTTGTGATTAGGGTAGTATGAAAGTGGTTTTTTTCCTATATGTTTGTTTAGTGCAGGAATGCAAACAGGAGGATCTTGAAGGAGATAAAACGCTGAAACCAACTCACTCGAGCTCGGTTAGAGAAGCCATGTGTGGGAGGACTGCTGCCAAACTCTCTGCCCCTTCGTCAGAAATCACATTACTGTAAAGACTGGAGAAGACAAAGAAGGAAGTGAATAAGGCAGTTTAAAATAGGATGCCATTTATAATTTTGGTTTAGATGTGTGTAGATGTGTATGTGTGTGTGTGTTCCAAACCTTAAACAGTGCAGTTTGGGCAGGTCCCTCAGTGAAAGAGCCAGTTTCTTCACTCCTTCATCTCCTATGCAATTCTGTGACAGACTGTAAACGAGAAGAAAACACTTCAGTTCAACACACACATACACACACACAAACCTAAATAAAATCTACAATACTCAGTTTTTTAATCTTAGACAAACACAAATAAGAAGAAGAAGGAATCAACGTGCACTCACTTTAGTATCTCCAAACATTTGAGAGAGACTAACGCATTCGCCAAGTTATCTGCTCCTTTGTCCCCGATCTTACTCTTTTCTAGACTGAAGATGAGAAAGAAATTACCCTGTCAGAAATTATCTCTAGAGAGCAGATGTTTTTGGAGTGAGTGAAACAGAAAAGAAGATATTTGTTCTCACTCAAGGTGCTGCAGGTTTTGTAGACCTGGCAAAAGATCCCAGAGCTTGGGAAGAGCCACGGGACCGTTTTCTGGACCAAGCCTGCAGAAAAAAAGATGTGATCATGATCAGAAGCTAGAATGACACAGCTCTAATGGCAGCTTATTGAAAAAACTACTGTATACATATATACAGTATATCAGAGTCAGTTTTGTTGTCATTGTACCGAAGCAAAATGAAATTACATTTCAGTACAGTCCGTCCAAGTAAAACACAAACAAACTGACATGGGGAGACGGAGGTGTCTGAGGCTGTGGCCTCGTGGGAGGCGCTGCCCTTTTCGTTTAGATAAGGAAAAGAGAAATACGAGGGACGAGGAGGTGAAAAAAAAATCATATCTCACACTGTGTTTTCGATGGGGCACAGTGTGAAAGTTGAAAAAAAAATCTCAGCACAGAAATAGCAACATATTGATGACATTATAATATATATGCATGAGGAAGACTGAGGAAGGCAGTGAGTTTGGCCATGGATACTGACAGATAGTCCCCATAGTCCTAATAAGAGATAGTGCAGTGTCTATCAGCCAGCTCAGCTCTGACACAGGTCCACAGATGTCCTCGGGAAGGGAGCGGGTAGGGGAGGAGGGTTTGGAAGATATGTAAAGAGAGTTAAAGCGAGGGAGTGGTGGTGCAGAGGTTAGAGAAGGTGGGCCTGTGATCGGAAGATTGCCGGTTCAACTCCCGGTACTAACAACATCAAAATGTGGGTGGGAAAGGTGAAACATCCACACCTGCCTCCACCCTCATTTGCCCCACTCTGGGCCCTTGAGCAAAGCCCTTAGCCTCCACCATCTGCTCCCCAGGTGCCCTAGATAGCAGCTCTCTGCTCCACACAGTGGGCTGTGGCAGCTTGGTGCTCTGTGGTTGCGTCAGGAAGGACATCCGGAATAAAAATAATTGCCACATCTTCATGCGACTTAGTCGCTGTGGCGACCCCTGAATAAGAGAGTATCCGAAAGAAGAAGAAAGAAAGAACTATCCAACTTCAATGACTCACTCAAATTCCAGCTTGCACAGCTCTTTGACTGCTGGGACCCCCTCTGCCAGGATGGAATCTAACTGACTTGAGCTGCAAACAAACACAAAAACTCCTTTCAACATTACAATACAAAGAACTAATATGCTGCAAAGCAAATCTGAACGTGCACAAACCTCTCTGATAGCCTCTTGCGCATGTGAATGTTCACCAGGTTCTCCAGATGCTCAATGTGGCAGACCTGTGTGGCTTTTAGAGGGTGGATCTTGAACTTGGACACCGCTCCTTGAAGGAGTCCTTCTTCATCACTCTGCTCCAGCTGCTCCCAAAGGGTGATGACATCAGCGATGCAAGCCCTGAGGAACACACCAAGCTTGGTTTTCAATGGGTTTTTTAAATAAAACATTCATTAAAGCGCCAAAATATCAGACAGGCTCTTCATTTTAAATCATTATCTTTGAATGCCAACGGCTTTAAAAACATAAGTATGCACTTAAAAGTAAGTACATTATTTTTTATAAACTATAACATTGCTGTCAGTTTTACTTTATGTGGCTATCAAAGCCGAAATATTTGGATAATTCTACTGGAAGTGCTCAGGCTGCACTTGAGCTACAGCTAACTGCTGCTGCTACTTGTTACACCAAAAAAAAAAAGTCACTAAATTATAAGAAACTAACCATGTTATGTAAAACTGTTGGCATTGTAAACAGTTACAAATTAAAATTTGTGTGAATCACCTTTGACTGAAATTATTTTAAGATGTCAGCAATTCGATTTTTGCCCTGCCTGGACAAGCTGTTAGCTCATCTTTCTATTCAGAATTAAACTCTATAGCTCCAAAATGAAGAAGTTCAAGAAGTTATCTACAACAGGTAAGATATTAACTGTTCATAGCTTTCCCACAAAACCCACTTCAAAAGATCTGATCTATTGCTTTAAGAAGCATGCTGTAAACTAATCATTCACATAAAGGGCATGTGAAATATTTCCCTTGAACACTATTATTTAATATCCTAAATAACTAAGAGAAATCATTATTTCCTTATGCTGCAATGTTTAAACAACAAATGTTGGGTCTAGACATTTATGTGGACGTTACTTTGACATTTTCACCCAACTACATGTTGTTAAAGACCACAAACAGCTGTTCACTCCAACAGCACAACCCTACTGTCCTGAAAAACCACTTAGCATCATCGTAAAGAACACAAGAAAGAGTCTAGTTCTCTGACCTGGCATCCAAACTCCTCATAGAACCATGTACATATCTGAGAAGATGCCCAACCTATGGAAGCCCTCTTCTGCCAAGCACAGAACCTAAAGCCTGCTGCCAATATCTGACACTGCAGAGCATCACAGCAGTTTTGTGTTCAAGCTGGAGGAGTTTGGATGACAATATTATTCATTTGTTTTGACTATAGAATGAACATAAAAAGACCTTAACGCTGCCTTTTTTATTTTACCAAGTACAAAGCCAATGGTCTGTAGGTATTAAAATGTATTTTAAGTTAATCCCAAGAGCCCGTGAAAGCTTGTGACAGACTATTGTATGTATATTATACTACATCAAAACCACAATACTTTCTATTTTGGGGCGTGGCTAAACATTCATGTATATTTTCACTGATAATTTAGCGAGCGTAAACATTTAGTTGGTGAGATCGGATCCAGAGGCCTCGTCAGGGGCTGGAAACATCTGATCAGTTTGAAGCAACAAGGATGTCTTCAGTAAATGAGGTTATTCTAACATTTAAGACATTTAATGAGACAGCTTGACTGTCTAGTATTCACAAATAGTAAAGGTAAATATGCAGTTAAAACTGTTACAAAGGCTAGAAAAAACCCTACTACACTTTAAAATTTTAATTACCTACCTTTCCAAACTGATTTAGAACATAAATATATCAAATAACCAAACTACCTTTTAGATCAGGGGTCTGCAACCTGCAGCTCTGCAGCCACATGCGGCTCTTTGGTCCCTCTTCAACGGCTCTTTCAAGCTTTGACAACTGACATAAAACTGAATTTTATTTGTTATACAAACAACAAAAAATAACTAGTTTTAGCTGTTTTCCTGTCATTTCTTTTGCAAATATGTGAACACTGCAAGGAGTAAAACATACTTTAACTTGATGCTTTATTTCTTTATACAGTATAAAGAACTGTGCATAGTTTAGATCTTTTAATTAAAAAAGACAGTAAAAACTGTTTTTTTCCCTCCTTCTTTACAAGAATCTGGTCTTTTTAAAAAAAATAAATGTTAAAAATCATTAGATTTTTTTTTTTTTTTTTGCTTTACGTCACCCCTATACTGGCCACAAAAGCTCCCTCCAGGAAACCTAAAGTAGCCCACGGGCCACCAGTTGATGACCACAGTTGTAGGTTGTTGTGGTTCCGGACACGTTTAATGTCGTGAACAAAGGCGTAAAAATGGCTCTTTTGATCGTAAAGGTCGCAGACCCGTTTTAGATGAACCCTAATAAAATGGTCCGTTTTGGAAAAATCGATACCAAACAGAATTTTACCTGTACGTGTTGATGTTGTTGAGGCTCATCAGAGATCTAAGTCCACAGATCTGTATACCCGAGTCCTCCAGATCCAAAGAGAACGTTCTACCTTTAGCTCCACCCTGCTCAAGAACATTCTGAACACTGAACACATCTGGCGGGCTGAAGGAAACTCCACGAAACGTCAGGAATTCTGGCAGATTTTCTGTCAGATGTGTCAACATTCTGCTGGCAGGGCTTCCTCCGCTACCGTCATGTGTAAAACTTGCTTCATAGACATAGTTGCATGCCTCTAGGACCTGAGCTGGACTCAGTTCACTCATGGAAAGATCTTCCAAGTGTTTTGTCGCCAGTGCCTGCTTGCTGCGCAACATGTCTCTGAAGACAGTCTCTCTGTACGAGTGAAGCCTCTCTAGTTCGGCCCTGTTGTGGAACAGAAGGCCCACGGCAAATCGTTGAGTGAGCTCGAGCTCTTCCCTTTTAGGTTTTCCACGGCCTTTGACAGTCGTCTGGAGAGGGAGCGTCTGGAGGAAGGAACGGTCCGGCACAGTCCTGGGGAAAGCCAGCACAAGAGTTTGGTCAGAAAAAAGCAGGAACATACTGAAAGTGAAAAAAGAAAATGGAAAACAAAAAAAAAAAAAGTCACTTTTGTTGTTACTCAACACTGGCTGATAAGGAAATGTTTCTCATTCTGTCCAGCATTTTTGATTCTTTGTTAGTCATTGGATGTTTTTAAATTTAGAAACAAGTTCTCTTTACCTGGATAAAGACAAATGAACGGCAGCTATGTAACTCTGAAGGAAAGGGTTCGCCCACAATAAGATGCCATCACCGCAGTCATCAACGAGGTCAACGTCTCCTCCGTTTTCTTTGCTTTCTCCTTCCTCCACTCTTCTCGTCTTGTTTGTGTCATGTCCTCCTCCCTCCTCATTATCTCTTTTGACAATTGTCCTCAGGCGCTGAGAAAGCAGCAGCCCTGTCCTCAGGCCAAACGCCTTGAGTTTGGCAGACACGACTCTTCCTGCAGGAATGATCGAGGTGTTGGATTTGACCCCCTCCCAGGCCAAAGAGCTCAGTTGGGACAACAACTCTTTGTCTTCTTTTCTGTTTGTGTCCTCAGAAACATTCCCCTCGTCCACTTTCTCTTGTTGTTTATCTTGTCCTTTTGCCTTTCTCACTTTCTGGGAGCAAAGGGCGCTCTGCCTGGCTTTTCTGGACTTAGTCTGATTATTTTCATGACCCTTCCTCACTTGAGAATTATTTGAGATTTCTGTAAGAGCTTCTTGGGTTTCACCAGGCCATTGTGTTCTACCTCTGTCTTTTCCCAATTTTTGACACAGCACCTGGTGGCAGAGCCCAGTTAGAGTTCTTGGTAAGACCTCTGAACCTTTGGACCACTCTAGGACTGTGCACACCATGTGGCAGAGTCCAGGGTTCCAGCAGAGGAGTCGTAGGTAGCTGCTGGCTGTTAGCCGGTCCACAACAGATGCCTTGAGCGTAGGGTCAGTGAAGTACTTGGACAAGTACGTCTCCACGTTTGCTGGATTGAAACCACACACCTCCAGAAGGCTGTCTGTGCGCCGCAGTAACTGGCTGGCGACGACTCTTGGCCGTGTAGCGAGTAGAAGAGTGCACCCTGGAAGTAAGACCCTCTGAAGGATGGCAGAAAACAGCTGCTTCACCGTGAAGCTCTGCGCCTTGCTGTCTCTCTGCAGTGATGTCACCAAGTCCTTCTCTAGAGCCTGGAGCAGCATTTTATAGTCCCGCAACTCATCAAACCCATCAAAAATAATGAGCACGCGTTTGGGAGCTGCAAGGATTTGAGTGTACACTTCCCCAGGGTCTGTGCAGGGGGGAGAGAAGGAGGAAAGGCTGAGCAGAAGTGTCTGAAGGCTATAGGTGGGCTCTGTTAAAGTCAGCTTCTTCCCCTCGAATAAGAAGACAAAGTCAAACTGAGGGATGCAGTCTTTAGACCAGTCAAGACACAACTTCTTGATCAGCGTGGTTTTTCCCATGCCCGCATTCCCAAACAGCAACATGTAGCGTTTATTACACTTGACTCCATTTAGGTTTTGGAAGATCTGAAAAGGATGGACATGTAGTAACATTTACGCAACAGTTCAATGTTTTCACTCACGCAAATGAACAAATCAGTACATTCTGGTGTTAACCTGGCAAAAATGGTAGACACAACTCTTGGAGAATCTCCTCTAAGCAGTTTTATTGTGTACAAAAAACAGATACAGTAGTTCCTCGATACTTCGCGGACTCGCTCTTTCGCGGTTTTTCAGCGTATAAGATTGTACACGACACACGATTGTCAACTTTAATATTGCTCGCGTGAATGGGATGGTATGGGATAAAAAGTTAACGAAAAAAATACTTTGGACAGACAGGTGCCACCATTTTGTAGTTTTCTTTCAATAAGCCTACCCTGTAAGGCAGGGCTATTCAACTGGTGGCGTGGGGGCCAAATCAGGCCCAAGAGGGAGCTCAGTTTGGCCCACCAACGGGTTCATTTTTAAATAAAACTAGATTTTAAACCTTAAAACAAGCCTAATTAATGACAATAACTGCTGAATGTTAGAACCCCGAGCTCCTGGTTTTCTGTAACTGTGCCCCCCTGAGCAGTTTATTTGAATAACTCTGCTGTAAGGCCAGTCCAAAGAATACACTACCCAGAAGCCAACAGTGCTTCCAGCTGCTGCTTTCTGCTGAAATGGAGGGAAAGTTTTGCAATGTGAAGTCAGAAGTGAGGATATATCTATTAAACTAACAGAACAGGAAAGTCACAAATAATCCTGATTATCCATGCACACATCAACCTGGGCGGGGTGGGGGGTGGGGGGGCTTCATCACTGCAGGGTAGGTCTGCAGAACTGGAACCGAGCCCGACCGGAACCGAGCAGCTGGTCTGCAGAGCTGGTGAGTATCCATTTAAAATTTTGCAGTACTGTACACTACATATACAGATGTTGTTAAAATGACAGGTTTAAGAGTTTAGAACATTGCAAGAATGTGGAAAAGGTTTATAAAGCTTTAAAATACATATAAATACTAAAACAAATAAAGCGTTCCTAATTTGTGGTTTTTCACCAATCGCGGTGGTGTGTGGAACGCAACCCCGGCGATAATCGAGGGACTACTTACTGTACATGTTTTGTTTTGGGGGTTTTTTACACAATTTTTGTCAAATGTTTTGGAAAATCTATAAAACTAAACTCACACACAAAATATATTAAAAAAAAAAACAATTTGCATTTTATTAAACAACCTTCAGGTGGCCTCCTTCCACATTAAAGATACGTGACTCATCAAGGAAAATCAAACAGTCCATGACAACTTCTTTATTTTAACCCAATGCTTTCTTTTTTCATGCTCATCTTTTAATTAGAGGTCTCTCACAAGCATTGCCCCTTTTTTGTGTGTGTGTCTATCATTTCTCATTTTAATGACAAGGTTTTCATTTTTGTGTTCTTGATGTCTTCCCTGGTCCACCTTCCTTTATTTTCTTTTTTTTCTTTTATATATATATATATATATATATATTTTTTTTTTTTTTCCTTTTCATTTACCCTTTATTTATGCAGGTAGTCTCATTGAGCCACGAGAACTCATTTTCGAGAGAGACCTGTTCAGGGAGCAGATGGGACATAAGAGCCTTGCTCATGGGCCCAGAGTGGGACTTATGAGGGTGGGGACAGGTGTGGGTGCTTCACCTACCCCACCCACATTTTTGATGTTGTCGGTACCGAGGCTTGAACCGGCTATTTTCCGATCACAGGCCCACCTTCTCTAACCTCTGCGCCACCATTCCCCCTTAATTGGGACATAACAATTATACGTGGTAAACAAGAAAATAACCTTGTAATTTTCAGCCAAATATATGATCAGTTAACTCCAGTCCAACCCCAGCTAATGGTAAGAATAGTTTTTTT